CATCTGGCAGGTGGAAGCCTTCTACGCATTGAGCCAGGTGCCTTCAGAGGACTGGTCCACTTTCGGCTGCTCAATGTATCTTCAAACAGACTTACCACCCTGGAGGAGAGTGCCTTCCACTCAGTGGGGAACCTACAGACCTTGCGGTTGGACCGAAACCCCTTAACTTGTGACTGCCGGCTACTGTGGGTAGTGCGCCGACGTTTCAGGCTGAACTTTGATGGTCGCCAACCTACATGTTCTGCCCCTGATCATGTGCGAAAACGGGAGTTTCGAGACTTTTCAGAGGTGGAGCTTCCTGTAGTGTTCATCTGCAGACAGGCACGAATCCTGGACAGACAGACGCAAGAAGCAAGTGTGGATGAGGGAACAAATATACAGTTTGAATGCAAAGCAGATGGCTATCCACCACCGTCTATTACTTGGCTGTCTCCCCAGCAGACTCCACTCAGCTCCGTGGGCAGAATACGGATACTTGCAAATGGGAGTCTGGAGGTGCGTTATGCTCAAGTACATGACACTGGGACTTACCTGTGCATTGCAGCAAATGCTGCAGGCAATGACAGTATCTCTGTAAACCTTCAGGTACGGAGTTTTCCTCGAAACTACACATCTCCCTATTTCTCTGATGAGGGGTGGGTTGAAACCTCGTTACCTCCTTCCACCAACTCTTCAGATCAAGTGTCAAACCCTTACCCCTTTGATGCCAAGACCCTTGTCATTGCCACTACGATGGGCTTCCTTTCATTCCTGAGTTCAGTGGCCATCTGTTTTGTTTTTATGTTCTTTTGGAGCCAAAGTAAGGGTCAAATCAAGCACACTGCCACCATTGACTTTGTGCCACGTACATCTATGGGTGGAGGTGGTGATGGTGCAGATACTGGGAGGTTTACAATGAAGCTCATATGAAGTCATCAAAGGACTGTTAAGTGCTTTGGCAGTTAGCTAACAGTAGTTAGCAGTTAGTTAACACTGTTAAGTGCTTTGGCAGTTAGCTAACAGTAGCAAAGGTAAGCAAAAACAGCTGACTTTTTTGCAGTACTGTAAATAAGCTTGTACTCAGTACTACTTCTTGGTATCAAACCGTTCAAGTCAATCTGGTGTTATTTTGGCTCATTTGATTTTCATTACTGTACAAAATGGCAAATGGGCCTTTTCTTATCATTTTTGCTGAGTTGTTTGGAAAGACCCTTATGTACCATGTGCTGAAATACTGGGAAATAGCCGGCATTAGCACTGTAAAGCATGCACAGTACAACTGCTTTGAATTGAGTATAGCAGCACTGGCCGTGAAACAGATATTGTGAACATCAGTGTTCGCTACTGTGCAGGCACATTTTAATAGGCTGGGGTGTAATGATTAATGTAAATAGGAAGACTGTGTTGGCCTCAACAAACAGGACATGTTAAGAGCATAGTGCGATCCACTAAATATGGGCCACTACTGCCAGTAAAATTTGAACATGCTACTGTATTTGTCTGGAATGTCTTTTATTAACAATATGTTGTCAATATTAATGATTTACGTAAAATCAAATACTTTTTTATGATAACATCAATAGACAGAATGCTAATCACAGAGTTTAGAATTCTCTTAGCTATTACTCCATATAATTAGACTATGTAAATTACAGAACTTGATTTGAGATTAATTGGTCATCACTGGATGATATTTATCTCTATACCATTAAAGAGCTTAGTTTCCCACAGGCTTTATAATCTAAGAATCATCTCAATGGTTATAGAACATATTGAATGTAAAACTTGTTTACGATTTTGCAGTTGTCTTTGTGCTTCAACACTTTGGGAAATTGACCCCAAAAACAGGCATAGCTAGAAAAAATAGCTGGATAATAATCACTTAGATATGTATAAGCATTTAGCAATAAGAGTTACTTTGAAATAGTACATACATTATTTGCTTTTTACTCAGTAGTGTTTGCCTTGTTTGCACTTGTTGGAGCAAAAGTGGACTACAAATTTTGGGCAATTTTTGTTATGGGCAAAGAATTCAGTACTTTAATCTTGTTTGTTTGTGGACTGACACATGGTAATATGTAAATGTGTTTTATTATTTCTGTAATTATGTCTTTTTAGCCATGGTAAATTATGTTTAATTAATGCAAACTACTTGGATGTGTCTTAGCAATGCATAAATGTCACAACAAAATATGTAAGATGAGATAAGCTTTTGAAATAAAATGTATGTCATGTACATACTGTATACTTCTGTCACACAATGCTGTTTTGCAAACTTATTTGTAAAATGTAGAGTTTTGCATTTGAAACTATTAAAGACTATGCAAATCTGCTGGTTGAGCAGCCATTATGTTGTCTTGTCTTTTCATTCCCTAGAGGTGCTTTCTTACATAACCACTAAGCAGGAAAAATAGTGCTGTCATGCTTGAGAAATCTGCACGATTATCACTATAAATCTAAGCCTCATTTGTTATGCCCCTTAAAGTGATTCCCTGCACCTACCTCACTCATCCTTTTGATTTACCTTATTTTTTTGCACCTTTCTCATTCAATTTCCATAATGAAATTAAAAAGTGCAGTTGCTTTTTGAGATGTGTGTTGATAAATCTGATGTTTGACAGCTGTCTCATTAGAGGACAAAATGTGGAGGCAGAAGGTCAGTGTTCTGTTTGAATGCCGCTGCCATGCTGCAGACCTTAATCAAGCCTTCTCGGCTTTATTTGGGATTCTGCAGTGAGAGAATTCGCTCATGCAGTAGCCGAGAATAACCCAGAAAAAAAGGATGATAATCACGTGTATGACCAGCGGTTTAAACCCTTTAGGATTACCTCTGGAAGGCTCAATCTGTTATATAGGTCTGTCTGGCTGCGGATGTGCCCAAACCATAGAGAGACTGCCATGCGGTGTGATCTGCTAAATGTATAAATGTATTTTTTAAGACATAAATGTGAAAAATGCAGAAGTTTGAATGTAAAAGCTTTGACTTTTTTTCACATAAAATCACTGTGTCTGTTTTAAAATATTGCTTAATTCACATGGCATAATTTGTATAGTCTTAAATTAGTCAGATGTTCTTATGTGTAGCAATGCTACATATATCCACTGATTGTACTTTATGAATAAACATATTGATGAAAAGAGTATTTGGACCAAGGCTTTGACAGTCATGTTCTGTGCCACTGGTGTCCACTAGGTGGAGCCAAAAGCAAATAATTGAAGAGAAAACACAGCTGCCAATGATCCATTGCTTTAAAACATTGGCTCATAGCATGCATACTGGTTTGCTTATTTCTTTATAATCAACCATCCATTCTACATTGGGAAATAATCCCCATTATGGCGTCAATAATTATTAACACAACCAAAACAGAAAGTGTGTGTGTATATATATATATATATATATATATATATATATATATACACACACATATGCAAATATTTGTTAAAAATGCATACTTTCTCTGGTGCACAAACATTCACTGGTTTGGCACTGGTTTGGTTTGCTGTTGCTAAGGCTTTGGCAATGTGAAGTCTGTGTATTTTTTCAGGTCTCTAACATCTTGCATTATCACAAGGAGACACATATCCAGTTTCCTTTAATCCTGCTACTGTTAAGAAATTTCAGAAGTAATGCAATGATAACGCCCAACTCAATATTGGATTATTCTTACAGATGGATTTTCCAGCAGTGAGCATTACAAGAGGGAATATTGATCATTGATTCACATCCTCAGCAGAAACTGCACTGTTGCATCCATCTTGTTGAGGAGCATAAGAGACTGCTGAGAAGATGTGAAAAGACATGTTAAAAGCAGAACAGTACAATAGTTGGGAGGGGGCAGATTGTGGCATTTCAATTCCAAAACACATCATTAGATATTAACAGTGCTTTGAGGAAGGCCAGTTTGTTTGATTACCTCTGAATAAACTGGAATACAGCATCACTATCCAAAAAAAAAGGGAGGGGGGGCATTTTTTCAATTTGCGTTTTTCTACATCATTTGAGCACAGCAGCTGCCGTTTACATTAAGCAAAAAAAAATGAATGGAACAATAGACATGCTCCAAAATTACTTGGGAATAAATCTCTACATAAATTAAAAGTAAATGACATTTACGCCTTTTACTGCAAAGTTGCCATTTTGGATTTATTAATTTTTTGGACAGTGACAATATGAAAGTAGACTTATCGTAATACTTTCTTTGAACACACATATAAAATTACTTGTTGCACAAAGACACACTGTAGAATTTTTAAACAAGTACACTGCTTATACTATAACACCCTGTACACTGTTTATACTATAACACCCTAATGTTTGCAGACACTCACTGATCTAACATTTCTCCTAAAATCAGAAATCAAGAGTCTTAATGGGGAATTTGTCCCCTGTTCGTGCAGTAGCAGCCGCTACTCTTCTGTGAAGGCTTGACATTAGATGTTAGAACATTGCTGTGAGGATTTGAGGATCGTCCTGAATGTATTGAATGGAGCTCCTTCACTCCAGAGAACCTAATTCCTCTGCTCTACAGCCCAATGCTGGCGGGCTTTATACCCCTCTAGACGACGCTTGGCATTGGGCATGGTGCCACTGGACTTACGTGCATCTTCTCCTGAGAGTCCCATTCTATTGACAATGCTTTTCTTTGGAGATTATGCCAACTGTATGTTGACTGAACGCCTGTATCATCAATAAGCGCTTCTTAAAGTAATTCAAAGGGGTATCTGGATCCTCCCAAACGTGTGCATTTGAGGAAATACACTGGTTGATGTTATTCACACCCTACACCACCATGCCACACTAGAACATGCTCAACACAGTCTCAAAGAGTGGACTGTCAGAACTCTTAAACATAAAGGTCGGCCTGTAAGCATGATGGGTTTAATATGAGTCTAAACCTGGCAGGTTTAAACTGACTGGTATTGAAAAGCTGGATTGTTTCAAGTCTGAACATCTCTCTCATCCCTCCTCTCTCCTTCGGGGCGTGTGACGTACAGCCCATCACCCCGACTTCCTCTCGGAGATGGTGAGGGACAGGAGGTCTTCCACTAGCACTGAGACCGATGCTGCGTATTAAAGCGTAGCCTAAACCTGCCAGCGGTTTGGAGGAGGATTTTAGTTCCCTTGTTTGGAGGACGTTCTCTTCTTTCTGACAGCAGCGTCGTCTGTTAGCTCTAACGCATCTCAGAACCATGAATCCAGTCCTTCTGACGACCCTCTTTTCGATAGTTCTGGCTGAAAAATCCCCTCGGCTGAAATTCACAGTGCAAGGTAAGCAGCGCTTTCCTGTTTGGCTTTTCGGCTTTTCTAGCGATGTTAAGCTCAGCATGATTCGTCACCTGGAGTGAATTCTGGAAACATCTCGTTTCATAGACACCCTGTTTGTCTAGTGCTGTCTGTACTGTATAATAATGAACACCTCAGTGTTGGGGGGGGATAGTGGAAATGCATGTGTTTTCGCGCGGCTTAATTGCTCGCTGTACGTAGAATACGAGCTAAGCTGCTTAGATACTGAACACAGACCATACTTCTGAATGCAGTGCATTCACCTAACACGCCTTAAAAACCATCTGTTTTCATTGACATTCACTTAATCCTGACTTTATTAAGCGGAGGAGTGAGGAGAGTAACAGTGTGGATGGATTTTTCTGTTACCATCGTTCGTTCTTGGGTGGAGAAAAAGATTTTGTCATTAAAGTGCACTAAGCAATTACAGGTTATCTACCCTTTATGTTATTTCAGAGTGGAGTCTAAACGAGCTTAAACTTTACTTTTCCTTCCCCAAAGCCGCTGCTACCAAATACAGTCTACAGTTAGTGCCTTAAACTAAAGCAAGAGCGGACGTGTCAGGATGGGTGACCGCTGCAGACACTGCGTCTGATTTCCCAAAGAAACACACAGCCTGCTGCTGGTCAGTGTCACCATAATAGATGAGTGTGGTCAAACATGGGTGTATGTTGGGTCGATATTTATGGCCTCGTATCCATGGTAACGCCATCTTGACATATGTTCGTTGTTGGTAAACTGTCTGTGATCATAAACACCGGCTTGAAGAGATAGGAATCAAAGCCTCGGTCTCCTCTAGCGAGAGCTGCTGTAGCGCACGGTTTTATTTGCTGTATGCATGAAACGGTCAGCTTCCTGTTAAGGCTGCTGTAGAGGTAACAGGGCGGACGGCTGTTTTCATGTGTGGGAAAATAACATGGTTAAAATGCCATACATCTTTAATTAGTGCTTGTTGGGACGCGAGTTAGTGGTCAAAGCTGCAGAACTGCATTGCAGGTACGAGCTAATGGAGATGATGCCATTGCAGTAGCCGAGGATTTTCGAAGATCCGAGCAGAAAACACACGCGACCTCGTCAAATGCGCGCGCGCGCGCGCGCACACACACACACACAAACACACACACACACACAAACATATGGGAAGTAGCCTGTGGAAAATTCCACAAAATCCAGCTCACAATTACTTATTCTGTGCACGATTTAACGCGTTTCAGTCCACTCGCTGAACCCCAGCTAAAGAGGATGGGATCAAGAGACAGACCATCTTAATCATTCTGTCTTTTTTCCTGACTTGTTCTCCAGCGTTTGATCCCCCCTTGGTCTTCAGTGTAGTGATAGCCACTTTACCAACATTGAAAACATTTGTCAGAGAGCAAATTCAATTGCTGTGTTTCTGTTTTGGCTATAAAACCCCCCGAGAAATGTACATTGTGTTCATAAGAGCCTGTTTCAGCACCACGGAGAGCGGCTATCGATCTCTCTATCTCGGCCAAAGGGAGGCGCGTCCTCAATTCAAAGCACGTCTTTCTGAATTCACAAAGGAGGGGCGAGCCATCTGATGAGCGAATATTTTCCACAGTAGCTTATATTATGAAAAACAGACGTTCTCTTCTGAAAATACATTCCGGAATAGGCTTGGCGAGGTTATTTTACTTTACCTATAAAGCTTGGAACGCTGTTTTGCCACAAACGCCACAAAACACACCTGTTGATGATGAATAAGATTCAATTAGTTCTGAATTCCAATATACTAATGCAAACACACCGGGGCTGAGGGGACAGAGGGGACAGACAATGGACAACAGGACTGTCTTCGACACATCTGTGCTGTATTGATGTTAATGGCATGCTGTATATCAACTGAACATGACAGCACATAAAGATTTTGATGGGTGTATTTTAGAATTATAGTGAAACACAGTTGAACTCATGCATTTATATTTACAAACTCCATATCTTACATATGTGCTTCAAACCCTTGAAGACACCACTTGCATTCAGTACCGTGCAAAAGTCAGAGACCATCCTTCATTTATTTAATTTACTGATAAACAGTCATTAAGTAAGTAGTTCATTTTTCAGCAGCAGGACAAAAATATTAAACAGAATATTACACAGAAGACCAACAGTTAAATGTACTTTCATTTTTTTCAGTGTTTCATGAGTCCGCACTTTGTCTTTATTACAGCTTCCTTTCTTTTCAGAAGACATGCTTTCAGTTTTTCAAGGAATTTGCAGGGATGTTTTCCACAGCTCAAAAGTGTGATCTTAGAAGTTGGTTGCATTTTCTGCTTCTTATGATCCAAGTAATCCACATTCATGATGCTGAGGTCTGGACTCTGGGGTGGTCAGTCCATTGTTCTGAGAACACCAGCAGCATATTTGTTTGAGCTGCAAATTTCCATTTTCTCAGTAACAGTTCCTTGGCAGCTACACATCCTTTCAGACTCATAGTGTTGATTTGTCTTCTCACAGCAGAAGGATCTACAGAAACACATTGATTTTTTTCAGGTCTGAAACAAGAGTGGAGCTTAATTTTCTCCTCTTTCTCAAAGATGAAAGCTTTCAGTGCTGTTTATCTGATGGTAACAGTTTTGGTGGTGTACAAAGTCTTGCACTCTTAGGATTCCCATTTTGTCTATTTTTTTTTTTAAATAACTTTTGGAACTCCATTTTAGGAAACTCCTGTTTTTCCCCCTTTTTTCCTTTGAATTTGCCTTTCCTTGTACAAGTGGAGTGTCTTATAGCCAATCTCCTCAGGAATTTCTCATGAAAAATGAATAATTGTAATTGTACTTCATGACCACTTGCCTGGAAATGAAATTAAGAGTTAAGAGCGGTCTCTGACTTTTGGACAGTGGTAGACAGGCACCAAAAAAGTGATTCACTGAATTCATACAATTCAAATATATACATTATTTCCATGTGAATTTGCACTTTCTGTCAGTAACTGTTTTTGTATAATCTAACACTGTTATGTAATATATTTTATACATATGTATACATTTGAATCAATTAAAGTCAGTAAACATATTTTTCAGCTTGTGTCTTGACTCTCTGTAAACTGCCTTTCAGAGCCAGCAAGGTTTCATTTCATGAAACCAGAGAACTACATGACAGTGTACCACCAGCAGGGGAGCGATGTTCTGTATGTGGGGGGCCAGGCGGTCATCTATATGATCACATTCACCCATAAAGGAGTGCAAGACACATTGGTAGGGGCCTGACATAGTAACCTAATACCAATGCCCTCAGCACTGATCTAGATAGTATGCATGCAGAGAACAAAACTCTTTTATAATATCTATTAGCACTGGGTAGAAGTGCTTCAGTCAAGATCAGTGAAGATCAGTGAAGATCACTGAGGAGTTATACTAACTGTAGTGGTTAGATCAAAGCCAGATCAAATCCTACATTATACTCTCTTTAAAGTAAAGGTGTCAAAAAGGGGTTCTTTGGAGTGTTGCCATAGAACAACCACTTTTGGTCCACTAAAGAGCCTTTCAATGGAAACTCTATTGAAACTTCTCAATTAAAAGGCTGGGATCCAAAAGTGGTTCTTCCATGGCAGCACTCCAAAGAACCTTTTATTTTAAAGGCCTAGAGAAACTTCACATGGTTTCTAGCAATTTAGGATCTTAGCAGCACTTCTCTGTCCATAATATGAATAGCAGAGCAGTGAAATATGAAACTAAATATTACTGTATAATAACTAAATATTACTTGTTGATCTGCTCACAGATAAAATTAGTGGCTGATGAAGGTGCCAAAGAGACCTGCCTTGCCAGATCAGTACCTCTTCAGGTAAGAGAGACTTTTGTGTGATGGTTACTGCACCTCTATCCACATAGTCCTAGTTTCTTAAACATGGATTAAGCCTTGGACTAAACTGTAGTGTCAAGGAAGAGTCACCATTAGACATTCTCTTTAGTCTGTGCTTAGGCTTTCCTGTACTGTAAATTTAGTGCTACATATCTGGACTTAATAATAAAATAAATTTTGAATCAACACAACTTTCTCAGAATTCTTAGAAAAATAAAAGGACATACCAGCTAGCTCTGTAATTGAGCCTTCTGTGATTCACCAGCCTGATAAGGATGAACACAAGCTTGTGCATACAGATTTCTCTGGTCTACACTGACATCAAAGCTTAAAGCAAGAGTGGAACAGCTCCTTTGTAAATATAGATTCTCTTCACAAGGGCCAGCCAGAGCAGAGAGCAGAGCACAGTGGCCTCATTCTAAATTTACAGAAATAGTCATATGTGACGAGCAGCACATCACTCATCATCACACTAGACTGAATGGGGTTATGTTTTAAGGTTAATGGCTTAGATAGAACTCTTGTGAATAACAGGTTCCTTTAAAAGGTTCAATTAAAAATGCAAAGAAAAGACTTTGCAACACTTTAAAGTCTTTTTTATGTCTGCAGTGCTGATCTCTAACATGCATGAGCATGTATGATAATGTGAGGTATATTTTGCCAAGCATGTATAGTTCATGTGTTTAACACTTATAAGTTATTCCTTTTATTCTAATATGTTCTTTCACCTTGTATAGCTCGAGTGTGATAATTTCATCACTGTCATCGAGAAAGTCAACGACACCTTTGTGGTGTGTGGGACAAATGCAGGCAGTCCTAAATGCTGGCTACTGGTAAGGTGTTAAGTATTCTGTTCATCATATGCATGCTTGTGGAGAATGCTCAGAATCTTCTAGGCTTTCAGAGCAGGCCCAAAAAATTTTAGTTCATTTTTACTAAGTATATTCATCATACATGTTGCATTTAAACTCTTATTTCATCATTAAGTTTTGTTTGAAAATGGTTACATTTTTTAAAGAGTGGAAAATTGTCCAATCTTTTTTTCTCATTTGTTTTATGTAGATAGAGGAAAGCTAGCTCTCCCGTTGGTTAGGACTTCAGAAGCTGAAGTGAATTCTTTATATGTCAGATTTTAACTACTTAGGAAGTTAATAATTAGTAACTGACAGTGGAATCAACCAGTCATGTTTTGATATACAATGGGTGGGGCCTAACCAGTTGTGAGAAAAAAAGTCACTCTAGGAAGTTCTGGATACGTCACTGACTGTGAGTAAAGGTGGTAACCTGACTATTGCATTTCGGTCAGTCATTAGAAATGGAAAACAGCAGCAGAAATTAGAAAACAATTGGAAACAATATGTCTATTACAAACTTCAAATGTCCAAATTCAATCTAGAACAGGCAAAATGTTAATATGAATCGCTGTTAGCTGAGCGCTAGCATACTACTAGTATCCCTTAAGATTGCTAGCAGAAATTAGCATTGTCGTAGATGTGGACTTCTTGTTTTTGACTAAATTTTGACAATTACGGTTCGAACTGCAGTTCAGTTGCAGTACAGATAACACTGACAGATAACATTGCAATATCAAAAACAAAATGGAAACTTTGAGAAGGAAAATATTTTTATTAGCTTTCATCAACTTCATTAGATTTTATTACAGGCGATTTTGTAATAACGTATCAAATGTGAACCATTTTTGTTGGTCCACTGGTTATGAAAGGTTCACACTGTGTAAAGCTCAGCCAATGTTTTCAAATGCACAGTTTAACATTTGAAACAAAAAGGTTTTGAGCAACATCATAGAAAAGCCTTTTTAGGTTTAAAATGGAGAAGTAAAGAAAGTTTTTCATAGTTTAAAGAACCTTCACATAATGTAAACTTAATGGTTCTTCCTAGGACCTTTAGTTAATCTGGAGATTTTTTAATTTTTAAAAGGGTTAACCATACTCACATATCTCATTTACAAAAATCCAAAAAGATGTCCATTTAAAGATTTTTTAGGGAACCAAATGTGATTCTTTTATTGCAGTGATCACTAGCCATTCTCCTGGAGATCTACCTTGCTGCAGGTTTCACCTCCATCTCAAATCTATGCCTCATTCTGATTTGGGAGTGTGGTTTTAAAAATAAAAGCTAAAAAAGGTTAAGGTTAAGAGGTTAAAATGAGTTAACGTTAAGATAAATTATAGCAATGATATGCTGGAAGGAACAACTTTACAATGTTTAGTATTAAAATGGGATTTTACTGAATCTACAGTGGAGGAAATAAGTATTTGATCCCCCACTGATTTTGAAAGTTTGTACTCTGACAAATAATTAAACAGTCTATGATTTTTATGGTAGCTTCATTTTAACAGTGAGAGATGGAATATCAAAAAGAAAATCTAGAAAATTAAATAATATTTAAATAAAAAATAATTTGGGAAATAAGTATTTGATCCCCTAAAAACCATGACTAATGTTGGCTCCCACAGACTACTGACACACCCTAATCTCAGTGAAGTCATTACCTGCATGAGAGACACCTGTCCCAAATTGTCACCTGTATAAAAGGCCACCTGCCAACAGACTCAGTGACACTCCAACATCTCCACCATGGGCAAGACTAAAGAGCTGTCTAAAGATGTCAGGGACAAAATTGTTGACCTATACAAGGCTGGAATGGGCTACAAAGCCATAAGTAAGAAGCTGGATGAGAAGGTGACAACTGTTGGTGCAATTATTTGGAAGTGGAAGAAGTACAACATTACTGTCAATCGACCTAGGCCTGGAGCTCCATGCAAGATATCACCTCATGGAGTCTCACTGATCATGAGAAAGGCTAAAAATCAGCCAAGAACTACACAGGAGGAGCTGGTTAATGATCTCAAGGCAGCTGGGACCACAGTCTCCAAAAAAACCATTGGTAATACACTGAGAAGTAATGGTTTAAAATCCTGCAGTGCACACCAGGTTCCTCTGCTCAAGAAGGCTCACGTCCAGGCCTGCCTCAAGTTTGCCAATGAACATATTAATGACTCCGAGAGAGACTGGGAGAAGGTGCCGTGGTCAGATGAGACCAAAACTGAGCTCTTTGGCCTCAACTCAACTCGACGTGTTTGGAGGAAGAAAAATACAGAGTATGACCCTAAGAACACCATCCCCACCGTCAAGCATGGTGGTGGAAGTATTATGTTTTGGGGGTGTTTTTCTTCTAAGGGCACAGGCCAACTTCACCACATCGACGGGAAGATGAACGGGGCCATGTATCGCAAAATCCTGGGTGACAACCTCCTTGCCTCCGCCAGGGCACTGAAAATGGGTCGTGGATGGGTCTTCCAGCATGACAACGACCCAAAACATACAGCCAAGGAAACAAAGGAGTGGCTTGAATGGAATGGCCTAGCCAGTCTCTTGACCTCAATAGAAAATCTATGGAGAGAGCTGAAGCTTCGCGTTTCCAAATGCATGCCTAAAAACCTTAAGGATTTGGAGATGAGCTGCAGAGAGGAGTGGGCCAAAATTACTCCTGAAGTGTGTGCAAACCTTATAAAAACTACAAGAAACGTCTGACTGCTGTGCTTGCCAACAAGGGTTTTGCCACCAAGTATTAAATGATGTTTTACTAGGGGGTCAAATACTTATTTCCTTTAATGAAATTCAAATTAATTTTTTATTTCTCATTTCATGTAATTTTCTCAGTTTTTCTTTTGATATTCTATGTGTCACTGTAAAATAAAGCTGGCATAAAATTATGAGACGTTTCATTTATTTTTTTGTATTAAAACTTTTAAAGTCAGTGGGGGATCAAATACTTCCACTGTATAAACAGACAGCATGACCGACTAACAAAGTACACATTTCGAGAGTGTAGCCTTGTAACATTGTTCTTGTATGAAAGCACGTTGAATATTAAAAATTCTGATAGCTTACAGGAACAATGGGTACATCCTTGGCCCAAGCATAATGTAGAATTTTCCACTGATATATTAAATAAATCTAGAGGCTTGGGTGCATCTGTTTTTACATCTGCAGCTTCAGTTATGTGTTTAGCTCATTATTTTGCTGATTCTGCTCCATCTTCAAAATTATCATAACATCTTACAGTCTTTAGTTTTGCAGGTGGTGTGAGATCATTAGACTTAAACACACTAGTCAAGAGGATTTTGTTCTTCTTCTAAAAGGAGACAAGGGTCAAGTAGGGAATGTACATAGAAATGGACCCACAGTAGTTCTGGCATCATCCTCTTTCATCATCTCTTCCATCAGGTGAATAAAACTGTTCTCACAGATCTACCTGACAATGGACAGAGGACATCAGCCTCAGATATCTCGCCTTCTTTTCCCTCTCAGCGTTCTGTCAGTCTCTCAGCAGGTAAAGGGGGTGGGGCGACTGTTAACTTCTCTCATTAGACATTTTCCAAGCCCAGCACTCTCATCTAGATGAATCAGGCATTCTATAATCAGACAAGAATGTTCTCCCTACACAGGTGCTGCTGATGCATAAAGTCTCTCTCTCTCTCTCTCTCTCTCTCTCTCTCTCTCTCTCTCTCTCAGATGGTAGTCTGTATTCTGCTCTGTCAGCGGTTGCGAAGCACCCTGGCTCTATCCGTCGCACCTACAGCTCCAACAAGCTGTTGAAGACTGAGAGCAAATGGTTGCTGAGTGAGTGGGCTGAGGTGTTACAATCAGAGCGCCAGGCGTTTCAATTTATAAATACTTGCCAACAAGTCACAATTGTTATTTTTTCAGTTCTTTTTCATTGTGCTGTTGTGCTGTTATAAGATTTTGTAACTAAACTGAAAAGTGACGTATAATTTCATATTATTATTATTATTATTATTATTATTACTGCTACCTAGTTAGGTTTAATTTGGTACACTCTTAAAAGGAGGGTTCTTCAAAGGTTCTTTAGTAAAGGGAATGGAACCATGAGATCTATACAGAACCATTTCATGCTTGTTGTAAATGGTCCTATAAGGCACCAAAAAGGGTTCTACTATCATTACAGTGTCAAATTTGTAACAATAGAAAAACCCTTTTTGGTGCTGTGTAACACATTCTACATCAATCTGAAGAACGATTTCACCATAGAAAGAACCATTTAAGCATGAAAAAGGTACGAAATTGTCACTGGGCCAGTGCCCCTCTTGTCACTGAGGTGGTACCCTCAAGAGTACATCTCAGTACCTTTAGTCAGGGAACATAATTGGACCTTAATCCATTGAAATTATATTTTCTAAGCTGTATTGACTCCACACACCCATGTCTCTCCAGGCCTTTTATTTTATTGTTCTGTTTTAAAACATTAAGTTATGAAAAGGTACAAATATGTACTTTTGGCAAAAATAAATTATCTAAGGTTCACAATCAGACCTTAAAACCACTGTTGTACCTTTAAGGGTACATTTACATTGCTTGTACCTTGATGAATGAAAAATGTACCTGCACAGAACCTTTATTTCTAACTGTGCAGTTTAAAATGTTCAACGTTTTAACAAACTACATTACACATATAACCGAAAATAATACAACACCGTACTCAGTCTCTTGTAATGAGGTCTGATAATATGATCTGGATTCATAGTCTAGGACAGATGTGTGGATAGCCAAGCATATCTAGCTAGAGAACTTGGGTTTAAGGTACGTGGAATTAGGCCCATTTAAATGTTATCACCATTGGCTTCCTCATAATGAAAAGAATTAAAAGTCTTAAAGCATGATTCCACGTACCTTAAACATTCAATATAATTTGTTATGTAATGCAGTATTCTGTAGTGCAGCATTATCAGAGGCCACAATTTATATAATTTTTAGGTTTTTTTATTCAGCAGTGTTGTCTCACTGCAACGCCAAGCATACATTGCACAAATACATCATACAAGCATTGGGAACTCCTGTGGTGTCAACAAATCCAAACTGCTAATCTAGCCACTGAAATATAGGCTAATACAATCAAGCTAGCTTTAGTGTAATTCTTACCTTGGACGTTGAACAAATATCATAAAGAAAATAGTGGTTCTATCTTCATTCAGCAAAAAATAGATGCCTTTGACATGGTTTTTACCCTTTTTGCCAGAAAAAAGAAGGCAAACGGAGGTAAGATATCTAGATAGCCAGCTAAATAACCCAGATAACAGCCAAAAATAACAGTCAGATAACCCCCAAAAATCCACCCTGAAGCAGTTATAGTCTTCTTCTACCTTTAACATATGTCATCAGAATGGGATTTCCATGGTCTTTAAACTTAAAAATCTTGCTCTAGAGACCTACATTATCATACACTATAGCATGCAAGTGGGCATGTTACAACTGATGTAGTGATGGTTACATTTGACATTTTCCTTTAAAGATTTGGGGGGTATGTGGTTATGACCTGTTAATGAGGCAGAGAGAGAGATGCAATGGAAGAAACCCAGCTGTGATCAAGAAGTGGAGCTGTCAATAGCTTATTATCTTCTTATTGAGAGAGGGAAGCACAGAGTGCTTCTCAATGTTAACAGCTCTGACTGCTTCTACAGAGCAAAGCTGAAAGGAATTGACAAGATGGAAATAATCAACAATATCACTTGAATAACATTTGGAAATTAAGTGGTGCCAGTTTTCATAGATGGCATGAGCTAAGACTTCTTCATAGACTGCTGTGACATGATATGGAAGAGACCTAAAATGGGGTTGGTGAACGCTGGGAGTAAATGAGAAAAATGAAAGATAAGATCATTCATGCGTGAAGCTGCAGGAAGCAATCCTATCATGAAAAGCTGCAGCAAAGAAGAACAGAATGTTGTAGAGACATGCAGGATAATATCTCCGGCCATTTCAGTATATTCTGACATTGCACCTTTGTATAAAGCCCTTGCTATTCAAACTGTGTGCTTGCATGTGATACCCTAATGAATCTGTAAGAACTTTCAGAGCTGAAAGAACTTAAAGAGCTGGAACAGAATGACCTTCGGTGGGCATTAAAATGCACATGCTCTGAATGCACAGTCCTGTAAATAGATCCTCTCTATTGTTGTTTTCTTCAACTAATCACTCACAATGAAGGATTGGTTAGCATGTTAGCAACTCTGATAGGATTTTACTTGACACCAAAAAGGATTTGCCTACAGGGACGCTTTAAATAAGCCTAAAATAGATGTAAACGGAAATGATCCTTTCAGCAACACAGACAGGTCAAAGCAATCCTTTAGTGTATGAAAGCAGTAATTGCTTGCTTGTTTTGTCTCTTTCTCTCTTCATCAGACCCTCAGTTTGCTGGAGCTGCAGTTATTCCTGCAACACAAAAATACAATGAAGAGATCTACTTTTTTTTCAGTGAGATCAACAAGACAGCCAGTTTGGATGAAGAACGATACAGGGCACGAATTGGACGAATCTGCATGGTAGTCAAGTATAGTGTTTTTACTTGTGTTTACTGAGTATATTGAGATCTTCTGATCCATAAAAATGATCACAACATTTATGTAATTCACCATCAGTTAACTGTTATATGTCGTGCTTTATCAGTTATACAGTCATGTGAAGAAGTTAGTGCACCCCAAGAAAGTTTCCTTTTTATTGACATATGTGGACACATCAGTGGGTGTTCTTCAGTTCAGTTTTTATAAGTGGAAATTTTATTTCGCAATAATTTATAAAAAAAATAAAAAATAAAATAATAATAATAATAATAATAATAATAATACCTGAGATGTACACCTCTGGCTCCAGTAACTGCTTTTGCCCCTTTGGCATAAACATTTTGGTCCACCCCATGCAGAATTCTTTCAACTGTGCAATATTTGAGGGTTTTGTTGTATGTGCAACTTGTTTTAAAATTCCCCCAAATGGATTTAAATGGGATTCAAATTTGTGCTTTAACTAGGCCATTCCATAACCCTCCATTTCATCCTTTTGAGATGTTTCTTGGTGGATTTACATGTATGTTTGGGATCATTGTCCTATTTGATGGTCTACTTCTTCAGCTCCAATTTTTTTTACAGGTGTTGACACATTTTCCTTAAGCACTCTCTTGTATGAAAGAGAATTCATAGTCGATTCTATGACTGCATGCTGGTCAGGCCCTGAGGCAGCAAAGCAGCCCCAAACCATAACATTTCTTCCAACTTCCTCTAATCTTCTAATCAAATCCAGTCTTCACTAAACATGGCTTCTGGTACTGTGGCCAAACAACTATCTTTGACTCATATATCCATAGCACATTGTTCCAGGAGTCCCAGTATTTCCCTAAATATTCATTAGCAAACTACTTTTGCTCTGATGTTTTTCTAAGACACCTTCTGGTGTACCTCCGATGTAGGTCAAATTTATGGAGTCTTTCTAATAGTAAATGCATGTGCTTTGACATCAACAGCTAGAGTTACTTGCAATTTTGAGGTTCTTAGAGACTTCTTTTAGCATCTTACAGTCTGTTCCCAGGTTAAATTTGCTCAGGTGGCCTGGCCTAGACAAGTTGGCAGTGGTTTTAAATCTTCTCCACTTGTAGATGATCTTCCAGACAGAGAAATGATTGATTTCCAATATTTTGGAAATCTTCTTAAACCCCCACCCAGACTCACAGGCATGTACAACCTTCTTTCTAAAGGCTTCAGAGAACTGTTTTGATCCAGGCATGTTGGCACCACACACTCCAATAACAGAGAACCAAACCAGATGGCTGAGGTTAAAATGTGTTCCTCCGAAATATTCTGTGACCATGTTCTAATCACTCACACTTGGTGCACCTGATCACCTTTATCTATCGACATTGTTTAAATGAAGATATCTATATGTTGAAAAAAATCTACATTTCTCACAGGGTCTATTAACTTCTTTACATGACTGTAAGTCACTAAGTCTCACTGAAATGACTGGACAGAATTCTTGATGACTATTTGTGTGCGATCTAGAGTGATGAGGGGGGCATAAAGACTGTGCTGCCTGACTCCTGGACTACATTTATGAAGGCACGTGTGATGTGTGGGACAGCCAGCACCCCACAGCAGTACAACAACATCAGACGAGCATTTGTGCTGGCATCTCAGCATCGAACTGGTGTCATGTATGGACTCTTCTCCAATGTGTGGTGAGTGGCAGTAATGCATCTGCAATTGAGAACGGAGCCATCACTATTACGTGATGTATTAGATGTCTACTTTATTAGACTGCACTTTAGAAATATCAATGGATGCTGTCTAATTTGTATAAAAGTAAAAGATCATAAAAGTAAAAGAATAGTTTGTGCTTTTGCTTTACTTGCATGCCATTCTCACCAGGAACACCAATCAAATTACTGATATACTGCATGTTTTGGTGCAATTAAAGGCAGGAATTTGTATTTATATGCATTCTTCCTGTGCTCTGACACAGGGACACTACTGTAGTCTGTGCGTACTCCATTGAGGAAATCGACCAGGCCTTCGGTAAATCTAAGCTGAAAGGCCACACTGGCCCACTCACTGGACACCGGCCTGGAATGGTATCTTCCCTCATTGTTCAGTTTGACATGAACCCCTTACATTCCAGTTTTATTACATACAAAGGCTTATCATTCAGTAACTACAGGGGCTTTTAAAATACAAACTGGTTGAGCTATTTACAAGTTATAGAAGTGTATAACAAAATTGTATAATGATAATAATAATTTGAGTCAACAAGCACTTTATGTATAAATAAATATTATTATTTATTATTATTAAATATGTAATAAATTCAAATAAATGTAATAAATACAAAAGTGCATTGTGTTTCAATCTAGTGTAACACATCATATTTTGTCTTACTCATGTTTATCTTTCTTAAATTCACAGGAAAATAACACCAAGAAACCCATAAAATCATTTTGCAAAGAGATAAAACTCACTGTAACTGCTATTTCTCTTCACCCAGTGTGCCCCTAAGAATAATACCACAGCTCTGAACCCAAAGACACTGGGAGTGATCAAGGACCACCCAGAGATTGAGGAAGTGATCTGGCCAGTAGGAGGTGCACCTCTGGACCTGCCTACTGATGACCACTTCACACATGTAGTGGCAGACACTGTGCTGGCTGTCAATGAAGAGCACTACAGTGTTATCTACTTAGGCACAGGTAAGAGGAAGGACGCCATGTCCTTATGCAGAAAGCTAATGTACTGACTGTATATTTTGAGAAAAGATAGGGTTTAGAGAAAACTACTACTTGTACATTGCTTTTTACAGTTACATAGCAATCCTGAAACCTCATAGAGTTTCTAAATGTACAATCCTTTTTATGAAACCTAGAACAGGGGTCACCCAGTGTGACTGCAGATTTTCATTCCAAGAAAGAAGAAGCACACCTCATACAACTTCAGTTAATTGAGGACTGAGACAAACTGATTAAAAAAGTGAAATCAGGTGCAGGCTTCTGCTTGATTGGAATGGAAACCTCCAGCCACTCTTTCCCTGGATGAGATTGGCAACCGCTGCCCTAGACCAGGGGTGTTAAGTTCTGACCATGAAGGGCCAGTATCCAGCAATTTGGTAATTCTCCTACTCACACACCTACTAAACAGGCAGTAAGCAGATGAGTTGAATCAGGTGTGGTTTAGAAGAGAAATAATCAAACTTTGCTGGACACTGGCCCTCCAAGATCAGAGTTACCTCTGCCCTAGAGCAGTTGTTTCCAACTCTCCTCTTGGAGATCTACTTTCCTGTTGAGTTTAGTTCCAAACTGCATTTCACATGCTGCACCCCACCCCACAACCTAACACTAATGTGTCTGACATAGCCAATCAAGGACTTCTGAATAAGTTCATTAGCTGGAGTTTTAGCTGGCAGATTGTGTAACTATGTTCTGCAGGGATGTAGGTCTCCAGAATCAGGACTGGTGTTTCCTGCCCTAAAACAAAACAAAGCGCAAGCTCATTACTACAAATTAAATTCATCATATCATGGAAATGACTCTTTTAAGTGTTATTACTATCTATGCATTTTTATGAATCCTCATGTGGGGAAAGCATGGTAAATGAGCTACTTGTTGATGCCTTTAAGCTCTTATTAAAAATGGGCTTGTTTTACTCTTTGTTGTTATAGAGCAGGGGAAAGTTCTAAAGGTGCTGCACACAAATGAAGAAGCTTTCATCATATCCCAGTACTCTCTGTTCCACAACGAGGGCCCCATCATTAACATGGCCATCGACTCACAGAAGGTACACGCTCTGCACACGCTTTAAATGAAGACCCACAGAAATAAAATAATTTTGAACCCAGCCTTGTCATACTCACACTATGAAGGATGAACCCAGTCTGCAGGCTAGATGTATGACTGTAGTGCTATAGCCAGGAGCTGTCAGAGAGACAGAGTGGGAGCATTAGCTTCAACCTGGTGAATCATGACGATATCATACCCAGGCCGTGTTTAACAGCGGCTCCAGATGGCTCCTTTTTCACCCTGTCCATCTTGCTTTCTACTAGGGTCACCTTTACGTTGGCACAGCAATGGAAATTCAACGTCTCCAGTTAGCCGACTGCAGCCGCTATGGAGACAGTTGCCGGGAGTGCATCCTCTCCAGAGACCCTTACTGTGGGTGGGACTTAGCCAAAAAGAAGTGCCTAGCTATTCCAGCAAACTACAACATCACTACAGGGTGCAGATATATTGTATTTACATCCAGACAACACTGAATGCATTTGTTTTGTATGAGACTATTTGTGCTTGCTCTGTAAATATGCTTCATTCACATTATTCTGTTTTCATACAGGGGATTCATACAGGGCCTTGACCAGTCCAATGCCTCAGTTTGTGGGGATACTGCTGGTGAGTACTGCACTACAATTTTTTATATAATAATTTTGCACATTTTATAAAGGGCATTCTGACTTTTTTTGACTTTGACTTTTTGTTGTTGACAAGCTTATGTATATAGTTATGAGTGCCCTCTTCTGGAACTATATGACCTTAGTTTCTGTAAATATAGCAGTTTTCATTTAAGCATGCAGTTTCCTTACAATGCAAAATTTCTTATATGGCATGCTGGGCAAAACCAAGTCCTCTAATGCTCGCTGAAAAGATTATGCTCTATCAGAGGTGGTCATAGGATTTAACTGAAATTTGAACCAAATATAAAAAACAACAGTATAATTCAAGATCTTTTGTTAGACCTAACTTTCAGTAATAATTAAATCCTGTTTCATTTATTTTCTTAATCATTAAAATTTAATTCAGAGTAAAAGGACTGAAACAAAAGGCTCTGTAATATCTGAAGACTTTAACACTCAAGCCAAAATGAAAAATTTAACCATTGCTAGATCTGTTGTAAACATACCCACTCTGCAGTGGTACATCAATAGATTTTCCTGTTTTGCAACTAGAAAAACTGACTTGATGATGCATCTTGAAGGTGGGAAGAACTTTTGAAAAACATTTGGGGCATATACACGATGATGGACTGTTTGATTTTTGTTAGCAAGGTTATGCAGATGGAAACCGTTTAGCTAATGTTACTGATAGGAAGCCAAATATCACAATTATCTGTATTTATTGGCCAATAGAACAGTGCTTTGCATAATGCAATGGTGGGGGATTCCCAATGGCTATGTGACATATTTGTCCAGTGCATGCTGTGTATTATAGTGAGAGAACACTGATGGATGAAAAAGCAAAAAGGATAAAATCATGTATTCATGCAATTCTATGTTACATAATACACATTATTAACACACTTAATGCATTTACCTCTTTAAAAAAGGTATTTTTTGAAGATAACTAAATCCAGTAAAGTCAAGTAAAGTTAGTTTCAGCCATGCTGCAAATTGTTAACAGTACATCAAACCAGTTAAAGCAGTTCAATAACAAGACCTCAGTTACTAAAACCATTTTTTGTACAGCAGCTCAAAAGACACACAGCACAGTTCCTAAGGAGGTACAAGTGGCAAAAGATGGTCCAGTCCTGTTACCTTGCCCTGTTCATTCTTACCACGCCACCTATGTATGGGAGAAGGACAACTGTGTGAAGCGTTACCCCTGCACCATCACTGGGTCATCATGTGTGCTGGCGTCGACCCCTGAGCTGCCGCTGAAGGAAGGTGTGTTCCGCTGCATGGCGATGGAGAGCGGCCTGAAAAAGGAAGTGGTGTCCTATAGGCTGGTGATTAATGCAGGAACCCTGCCCACATCCCCAGCCTCCACGCTGGGCCTGTCTCTGCTGCTGGCCGTGGGTAGCCTCTGGTTGCTGTAGGCCTGTCCCCCTCTACATGAGGGTCCTACTGGAGAAGAGGGAAGAGAGTTCTGATACCAAGGTTAGGTTCGCAGAGCATGTGAGCATACTAGGGCTGTCCAACATGTGGCAGGAAAACAACTGATCTCCATACAACCTATACTGTGCTTTTGTTTGTGATTTAAGCGGGGAACGCGGTTTCTGTTTAGCACCAAAAAGCAGAGAAAACACCTAAATGTGACCCAGCTGCCAAATTATGCATAATATCATAGATAACATCAATTGTTCATGCTGTTTAAATATTTCCTGGCATCAGCCATATAACAAGCATTCTGTCTTGAAAATATATAATCACCTATCTAACAAAGGGTTTGTACTGAATAACAGTGCTTTTTAAGTGTTACTACTTTGCGAACCTAGCCTGAGAAACAAAGAACCAGGAGAGTATCTTCTACATACAGTATATACTTAAGATACTCAGTATTTCTCAACTATGGACATTTAAATCCGATGTAATGCTGTAATCTGCAAAATATCCTGTTATAAACATTGATTTTTCACACACTGAGGTAATGACAGATTCAAAGCCTTAAAAACATGTATAGGACCTCTCCCTAAGCACAATTCACCTTTTGAGCAGAAGCTGCAGAATCTGACTTGGCTTATTGCATTGTGTTGGGTCTCATTAGCAACGTGTAAGCTTTTTGCCAGCCACTGGGTGGAAAGCAACCAAACTGGAAGATGTTTCATCCAAATGTGTCACTGTGTAAAACAGCATAATTTCATATGAAGCCGCCTGTGCATTCTTTTATGATAACAGACGTCTATAGTATTTCATACCTGTGTGCTCATGTGATTACATTTTTTTCCAAATGAAAAGTATCACATTTTAAAACATATGAAATGATGGCCAAATGAGCTTGAATAGATCGCCTGTAGACTTGCAGTTCGTAGTTGCTGTGAAAATAAGCTTGTGATTAATCTTACTTATATTGTTAATGCTCTGCATATGCTGATCTCCACCACTGCTGCCTATGTAAATGGAAAGTATTTCTGATGGTTTTATAGTCATTGTGCACTGCGTTTTCAGAGTATAGATCAATTAATCCGTAGGAAAGTTTATTTATTTATTTATTATTACTGTTGTTTTACATAAGTAAATGTCTTAATGTTACATTTCTGCTCAAACGATTGTTTATATGGGACAGTGCTTACTATTTGAGAGACAGAGAGAGAAGATTGAGAAAGAGAGTCAAATTTTTTAATTTTGAAATTGGAGCATCCCTTGTCTTATTCCCAGATCGAACTCTCCCACTGCAACTGACCCCATGTGCTAGTTATGTGCCAGTTATGTCTTTAACCTCATTCATTAATTTCTGCCCACTGTATCTCAGAAATCAGAGCAATTAGTCAACACAGTAATATTTAAAGTATTAATTACTAATATGAAGAATATGTAGTATGTATTGATTGCTGTCAGTCATTTCCGTTTTATAGTTGACAACTTTGCTGTTGATGTTAGCATTGTTTTGATTGTTTGTGAAGAAAATGCTTTTTGCACATGTTCCCCTACTCTAACCAAACTTCATTTTGCACATATGTCCACAACCAGAGCCAGCTCTCCAGACCCAGATCTGATTCAATCTGGACTAAACCTCTGTTAAACTGGCCGAATGTTAATAAAACTGATTAAAAATATTTCACTGGTATTTTTCAATGCATTTGACTAGAACAGTGCAAACCAAAACAAACTGTGTTTGTTTTTAGCTATAGACTGCATCTCCCGGGGGCCCACTCTGCTTGTGTTAGCTAATCACTGAACAACATGTTTGGGAACTATTTCTTCTGAAATTAAGAATATTAATAGGGAGCTTGCTCACCGCCCCGCCCCGCCCCTCCACCCTTAGGGTTGTGTGCAGCAGCTCCAGAGCTTCCAAATCTATTGACAATGCTTTTCTATGGAGATAATACAAGCTGTGTGTGCACAGTTGAATGCCTGTGTCAGCAGTGAGTGCACCTGAAAGTAGCTGAATTCACTAATTAGAAGTGCCTGCATACTTCTGGAGATACAATGTCCAAAAGTTAAGTTCTCACTATAATTGGTTCAAAATGTTACATTCTCACTATAATTTGGCTGGGGAATTTATACCCTTTACAAATCTAGAATATTTCTTCAGAGGATTTCAAAAACTTCATAAGCCCTATTCCAAAACAACCACTTTTCACATGACCTGCAGTTTAGGGTGATCATGCCACAAAGGGGACAGTTAATCCATTTATCTAAAAAAACATTTATTCAGTTACTATTTGAGTATTAGTTCCTTTGGCCACCCATCTGGCCCTTGAATTCACCTCAGATTATACTTCCTGTGAAGAATATCATATTCTCATTGTGGCATTTGTTGTAATTCTTGAAGCTCCACTGGACAATTTTTACCTTTGTGTCTCTGTTTCAGGCACAGTAAATGTGATGTCACCTACTAAAAGCGTGCATGCATTACTGTTCACAGTTCAAGCTCCTGTCTGTAATTGCTGGTCCTTGAGGACCTATTGATTGTACTAGGTCAGCTTTCTCATTGTATGTGATTATACCTCAAGGTGTGTTGCACTGTTAGAATGTGATTAGTGCAGAGTCATTAGGCATAGCTGCAAAGTTGGTTGTTTGAGTCTCTATAATCTGTCGCTATAAACAGAAGACTGTACAAGAGCAGCCATCAGTGTATTGGGAGATGATGTTTGCGCATTCACTTGATAGCTGAGGGACAGCTAATATATAAAGTAGGCCTGCCCTCATAAAGGACATCTCTCACAGTAAGGACAAGTGGTGAGAATATGCATTACCACATTTTTGAGAACACAGGGAGGAAAGCTACAAACAAAATACTCTACAACAGATGCCAAAGTTACTGCTTGATTGTCATTTAATTCATTTGGCATACTCTTTTTGGGAAAAGGCCAAACAGACACTCCTCTGTGTTTTGGGCTCAATCCAAGAGAACTCAGTCATTGCCATTGGGAATTGTTTAAAACTTTCCCCTCAACAAAATAACAGCCTAGACTTTTCTTGGCTTCATTAGATGTCTCACAGTCATATTTGGATTTATCTGAATTCTCTGCATCATCAGAACAACAGTGAATCACACTGCATTCAGAAAATGTTCTAATCATTTTCACACACAATCATTTGATTAAGTATCTTATTTATTCTGATTTTTCAATCTCATGACAGCCCGCTTTACTAGCACTGGCCTTTTCTACATTCCTGAAGCTGAGAGATATTGGCACCACACCCCAGTGAAAATCACATTTAGAATCAACTTTAGACCTTTGTTAGCTTTCTAATCATGCAGCAATACACAGCTGCCCAGGAAACAACAAAAAGCCAATTGTTCAATTACTTTTGTGTTTAGAAACTGGTCTTATCAATGGATGCCACATAAACCAACACAGATTCACCTGTTTGCTGCTGTCAGGTGTCATACTTACAGATATTCTATAAACCATCAACATAGTCTGCCTGCCACCAAACAGTTCTTTAAATTCTTACTCAACAGAGAAGGAACATAAACATGGAACTTACAAAACATTTGTGAAATATGTCAATAGTTCATGCATTATTGAATCCCCAGTGAACCAAACATTTAATCCTTGTGTGGTGTTGATGTTTTTGTTACTCAGTGGGTCTGGTGGAGCCACCACATTATTATTATTTTTTTTTAAATTTATACAGCCATAATAATATGGGTATTTCTGTTTTAGCAGCTGTTGCCAGTCAGCAGCCTGTCCATGTTGTTCACCCTAACACACATGCACACATATACACAGACACATACACACTAACAGCAGGCTACGTATGAGGAGAGCAGAGTGAAGGGACAAAGCACCTCTACACGTTTATTTCCCACAGGTTCACCCCAACACCACATGTGTAATATAAATGTGTAGGGGGTGAACAGTGTGAAATCACTGAAAATGTGTTATTTTATATGTCCTTCACAGAAAATGAGCAAAGGCCAAGGAATCTGAGGTTGAAATAATATTAAATCGCATCATTTTTTCTTTGGTAAACATTGAAAATGGGTCCCACAGACACGAACACCACATAAGGGTTATGTTATATTTTCACTGATGTGAAAGAAAGGATTATGCACATCATGCTCTGCTCCTTGCAGAAATAGTGTGGCTGTATTATTCTGCATGGAACGCAGCACTGGTGTCACCTGTAAATTTCCATAGGAGGAATACATGCTTGGTAAGACACTTAAGATGGAAAGATGTTCTGAATATAGAACAACTTTCGCAACCTCCACTTCGGAACAAGTGAAACAAAAGGGGACATTGTACGCTGACACAAAAGAAGACAAACCACATTACTGTTAAAGTCAGCCGTAGAGGTATGCAACTGTTGAGCTTTTTTTCAGGTGATTAACATGTTATGGCCACCTTCACTGTTAAACTCAACAGAGAGCCAATTCAAATGATGCCAATCAAAACTGTGAGAATACTTCCTAGATACTATTGTATTATAACTGCTTCACAAGTGACAGCGCTTTATGTGGGAAAATACTTAAAGACGAAATGACAGAATATACAAAGTAAAACAGCATTAAAGCAACATTGAAGAAAGTCTTTCAGACTTTTAGACTTTCTTAATAACAATTTGACAAGCAATTTTTTTTTTTTGTTTGTTTACAGAAAAATCATCCAATATTTTCTATTCTCTTCAGGAACAATACTTCTGCAGTTTTGTTTTGACTCCTCTGTCCAGTTCTTTGCATATGCAAGATCTATGGCATTATGTTGGCAGAGCATACTCTGATGTGTAATGTTCACTTTGAGGTTGCCTTAGACTTGGCAAAGATCACCAATTATGTCACCAGTCAAGGAAGCTCAGATTATGACACTGTCTTTTACATCCTTTCCGGTTGGGAACCAGGCACGCAAAACCAGCTGTTCCACTCTAAGTCTTAAAAATACACAGCAGTTAAAATTCTGAGTCATCTGCCCACTGTAGTCAAATGACATCTATCATTCCACAAGTGTATTTCAGTGTCTTCTGCCATTTACTTCTCCCTTACATACAGTAATTCCTAATTTATACCTATGCTGACCCATACATAAAATATGAATAAGTTTTAACTATGGAAAACTGTTGTACAAATAATTCAGAAATATTTAAAAAGGACATGTTTTTTTTCATATTTAGGTCAGTGTTTTAATATTGTGTACATCTTAACTGCCTTAGGTTTCAAACTGAACTTTTCTTGTTATATAAATACAGTGTGGTCTACAAGTAATTACAGGTTTGATGTAATTTTTATTGTTTTGGCTCAGTTTTTGTACTTATTGTTGAAGGTATACATAATCATCAAGTATTGAGATCTTCCTTTATTTAGAAAAAAGTAGATTTCTTGCTTCTTAATAAGGTACCAAACAGTTGATTTTGACACACTAAATCATTTGGCTATGTCTTTGATTTATTCTGATCTTTCAATCTCAGGATGTCCTGCTTTATTATCTTTGATGCTTCTTCATTCCTCAAGTTTTAAACAAATGTAAATGAATCAAATTTATATCTTTGAAAGCTTTCTAATGATGCAGGGATACAAGGCTGGCCAAAAAGGCGGTTGTGCAATTTCATTTGGTCTCATAAAATGGAGGAACTATGATTCATGATTCTATGAATAATAAAGAGGTGGTGCTGGTGTTGTTCCTCTATGATTCACCCATTGTTTTATTTCAAAAACAATACCTGTCACCAGTTGTAAAATTGAATGGAAAAAATCAAGGGGATGGAGGATTAAAATGTCTACGGTTTGTTATGAAGCTGTGCACCCCCCCACCCCATCCCACCCAATGAAATCATGACATCAGCTGATGCTGCGCTGCGGGGCTTAGACAGGCTTAGTTCATTCATGTTTATTCTTATTATTTCTTTCTATTCTTTAGGGTAAGAGAATTTTCACCTTGTTTGTAAAATAGTTTAACTGAGTGCATGCTTTTAAAGTATAAAATGTGTTGTTAACAGAGGTTTTAATGCCCAAACAGGTTTTAAAGCTCAAGCAAGGAAAATCACTTTTCACAGGGCCTTGATCAAATCTGTCCCCCGTGATGTCAGTGTAACAGATAGATGAAATTTGTCAAAAGGAACACAACACTAGCAGAATTATAATAACCTACCTTAAATTCACTCCAGCTGTATCAGACCTGCTAAGGTTGCCAGTAAAACCTATTTCCTGCTGTGTTGTTATTATTTAAGGATATAAATGAAACTTATTGTGTTCAAAGGCAGAACAGATGACCAATATCACTATTATTGGCAGAACAGAACAGATGACCAATATCACTATTGCTGGATTTTAATTCAATTTCAGTCATATTATATTGTAATGTAGGGGTAAACCTCTTTTCGGTCAGTAGCAGGTAATCTGTTTCCTCTGTGTTCTAGAGTAAAACAGCTGTATGGATGAAAAGTATAAACAAAAGATACATTACTACTATAACAGTAAAATGTAAATGCACACCAGCTTCAATATACTATAGGGAAACCAATTTCCTAGGTGCACTTACATGAGTAGTCTAAAATAATAACACAGACTAATAACTGTGCTGTGTAAACCAGTTTACACAAAATGTTCTAATGTTTCAAACCCACATATACAACATGGTGACGCTGTGAGGCTATGGGACATGAGGCTATGGGACATCCACAAAACATCATAATAAATCACTCGAGTCTGAACAACAATGCCTCTCCATATATGGTAATTAAATTAGAATTGACTCATTAAATCTGTTACACAGAGTAACTGAAAACAAAGCAAAACCTAACATTAGCAAGTTGACCCATCTACTCCTTGTGCATTAAAACCTCTGCTAACAACACATTTTATACCTTAGGCATATGTTTAAATACAATTTTTTCTTTTACAAAGTGAAAATTCTCTCTTGAGAAACAGAAGGACATAGCAGTACAAACATGGGCGTACTGAGCCTGTATAAGCCCCACAGCGCAGCATTTACCGTGGAGGGAAACGGGGAATTGAATTTACCATAAATCGGCAAAAACCACAGGTCTCCGTCCACTTCCAAGCAAAACCTGGTTCAGTTCACTGCTGGTGGGAATGCATCCTATGATCAAACGAGAGGATTCATCAATAGAGCACTCTTCTAGCAGCACATTGGCACTGTACTGCCAGCATGATCTGCCTGTTTTAACGTCTGACTCTTTACAGACTCTCATTTGCTTTCATATCATTCCTGCAGCACAAGCTGCTGCTGTTAAAAACAACAAACGAGCTATAAAATCATAGCAGACAGATGCGTTTGATCTCTACTGGCTCGCTCTGCCGTAGAACTGCAGGAGGCATAACCATGCAGAGCGACCACATGTGAAGGCTCTCGGTAGGCGGCACGCTCATGGCCGGAGAGACATTTATTGTAAATAAGTTGTTGTTGTTGCTAGCTTAATGATGCGCACGTGTTAATTGTGCCTCTCTGTGCTAAGCTGTGGGTTAGCAGTGTGGTGTCAGTAGTTGTTGACCGCGGCCCTCTAGCGATGCTTCGAGCAGGCATCATAATGGTTGGTCGAGGCTGAGAGTCGGGGCTTTGGTGCACACGAGCAGCACCCTTGCTGGCATTGATGGCACAGTAGGCAGCAGAGGAAGCAGAGACCGCCTCTGCTGTTGTCGCCGCTTGCAGTAGTTTTGACTGGTAGGCCGCTGGGACGGTCGACCTTTGAAGGGGGGCTATGTAGCATTTCACTACTGGCCGCGCTGCCTCTGAGAAGCTCGGGAGGCGTGGCCATGCGAAATGCCATTCGAGGAGGCTCATTGGAGGTAGCAGCCCCCCGAAAAAAGGACTTGTTGTTTATGTTGTTGTCTGATAGTTAAAAGATGTGTTGTGTGTTATTTTGTGTCTGAGGTGCAGATGGTTGGGTGGGGGCACTGTTAGATGGAAGCCTTTGACTATTGGTGATCCCCCAGTTTGGCTGTATGTTATGTGCCTTTCTTCCTCTGAACGCTGAAAAAACAGCTTGAAGAATTAAAAACTGCGCACAACTAGCGCATAAGCACACTACGCCCATCCTACCAGCGAGTACACGAAGTCCCCGGCAATGCTCGTGGAGAGTGTGACGTTCTTCAGCGTACACACATTCCCACATTACTCTCGCAGACGAAACAAACGCAGCACGAGCCAGTTAAAGGTAGTCGGTCTTTCCACACCGCTCTGTCCTCGCTATTGCTCAACGCAGACAGTCTGCCAAAGACAACAGCAGAACCTCAGGAGGATTGTAAAATGGATGAGAAATAGTAAACAAAAGCGATACAGCTTGTAAAAGTCTCCATCTAAACTCCTGAATCAGAGGTAAGTAGCCAGATGTTTTGTTTACGAATCAGAAAGTTGAGGCTCAGATGAGAGAGAGTGGTTTTGTTTTCTGTTCATCACAGTGTTTTCTGTAGGTCATTATGATGCTCTCTGTTAAACTGACATAAAATGCAACGTTTAGCGCATCACTTTTGTTTCACATTCTGCATAATGATAATAATACAGTGATTTATACACACTTCTTGTTAGACTAATTTTTGTTAAGTTTAGACATTTCTTTTTCTTTTTCTACAGGTTTTTGTAAGAATCTTAAAGTGAGAATAGAGTACTGTAAAAGCATTTCAGAGTACTGTAAGAGCACTACAGGTTCTTGTAAGAATATTAAGTAAATTCAGCTTAGATTTTTGCTGCAGGGTACTATAAAGGTATTACAATACTACAGGAATATAAAATATTTAGATTATTGTAGAAGTATTATCAGTAAAGAACATCACTGTAGTTTCTTATAGTACTACTATAGATCTTTTTGTACGGGCAAGAAGTTATTGGACATATATACAGAATGTTGTTATGTCTGGGATATTCTGCCCAGAGGCATGTGTTCTACAACTCAACAAATATTTATCTGCCCAGGCGGTTATGGAGTCCTTATGATGAGTCAAGAAGAAAAACTGCTTAGTAATACTGCTTGGAAGTATATTCTTGTAGTCAATCATGTCAACTCTGTTATATGTAATTCACCCATATTACGTCTTCTGACTTGATGAAGTTATGAGGCTCCCAAAACTGTCTGAGGACTAAATTTTAATGCTTGGCTCCAAAATGCTTAAACTATGCATGCACTGTGAAATGTACTACTTTATATGTGAGGACAATCATCAGTATCTGGTGGACAGAGCATGAAAGTTCGGTTTGTTTGCTGGAATTTATTTAAGTATGTAGTGGAGGGCTGTATTAGCCTGTTAAAAACCGTGCCTTGTAAATCTTATCTCTGGAGGGTTTTTTCCACACATTCCTGACATATTTGTTTCAGTAGTCTTTCAAAGCTAATGTTTCAAATGATGTAATAAAAGAATCAATTCTTTTTTAAATTATTTTGTTCACTCTGGCTTGCATACATTTTCTTGAGCCATCTTATTGATAAAACCCAGCTCTTTACCCCTGATATTTGGGAATAAGTTGGTTGTTGGTTAATGGCCAACCAGTCAGAGTTACGCACTTACGGGTAGGAAATGTTGCTTCCTTAATGAGTCACAGGGTCCCACAGTTGCTGTTTGAGTGTGTGGTTTGTTAAAGACACCTGCTAGGAAAGTTAGTACGAAACAAGAGACTTGTCCTATTACTGTAACTAATATTACCTGAATTTAATGTAGTTTATTTCTTGGAATGTGCGTATTTTACTGCAGAAGACATTTCTTTAGCTTTAGCTGAAAATCTTTTAATAATAGCTAAAAAGCAATTCCACCAATTTTTCAAAGTTTTCTGCATAATTCAATCATTAAGATAATGCTGTAGAGAAATGTTTGATTCAGATTACAGTGGTGGTAATAGGAACCAAAGTTACAAAGTTTATAACAGAAATATAGTCATCATTTTCTATTCAGAACTGGAATATTCAAATGGCATTTTTGAGTTGAATCAGCTTATTGCAATTTAGTTTCGTCTGTTGCAACTGGCAACTTTTTGGAGTAAAACTTACTTCTTTCTTATTGGTTCCTGGATCCATCTATTTGCATATTGAGTGTTTCTTGCCCCTTTGTTTTACTTGGTGTATACGTTTATTAAATGTTTTGTTTAGCCGCTTGGCCTTGTGTTGTTGGTTAAAACAGCAACAACAAAACTGGTACTGTCCAGAGCTTATTCTATCCATCAATCCACTTACAATTGCACTCATCAACCCACTCCATCCATCCATTCATACAGATATATCAAAAAACATTAACTTTTACAGTACATTCACTTTTGTCATCTCTTTTTAGGATTTTTTTTTTTTTACTTTTAGTTTTGGTTTCTTTGTGTTGCCATCTAGTGTGGAATTGTTTCTAGACCAAGAGAGTGACAAAATACAGAGCTATTTCAGTATGACTAAAGTAATATAGATTACTGATGATGATGATGATGATGATGATGATGATTTCTTTCTTTATTTATTTATATAAAAATTACACATCCCACCAAATTCACACAAGTGTAAAATGAATCTGCCCAGAACTATGCTGATTCAAGCATAATTATTTCAACCTTTTAGACTTTTTTTTAAACATACTCAAGTATCTAAAAGTAAAACAAAAAAATGTTAGGCAAAATTAGGAGTCAGGGTATTGTATTTATTGTTTTTTGTTCATTTTGTTCATAACACTTTTATACTTTTAGATACTTGAGTACATTTAAATGTAGATGCTTTTTTGCTTTGACTCAATTTTATTTTTGACTTTTAAATCTTAGTAAGTTTTTTATACTAAGATTTTGATACTAAGATACCATCATTTAAGTATAGCTTCTCTGTATGTTTTACACCCCTGCATCTATGGTACCCCACTGTACTCTCACCATAACATTAATAACCCATAGCATGTGATCAGCATGTGATCTGCAGTTCTGTTAACAGGTGCTCTGGTGGTGACAATGCAGAGTGACACAATAATTTCACTATCACCGTACGGAACTTTGCAGAAGTGGCTTATCCCATACCGCTGTACATGCATGGGCCTCATTTTTGAAAAAAACTTTGCACAAAGGCACTACTGTCTGGTTCAACATCCCCAAAAAGTGACACTGACCCTGTGTCTCAAATGAGCTCTTTCATAGCACACTAGCCACTTTTAATGTGAGTAAAGTGTTCACACTGAAAAATGAAGTGGGATGCAGTGTGGTTTTAACACTGAGATAATGTACTAAAACTAGTGCCACTTAAACGGGAGCCTGGCCAATTCTTGCTTCTCCCATTATATCTAAAACATAACGACAGAACACTAAATGGTGAGAGCAGATGGTGGTGAATGGAGCTAAAGTGCTAAAAACAAAACCATTATCTTTTTCTAGCCATTTATGCAGACCTTCATTTAATTTGGGAAAGTAAAATGATGTATTCCATTAAAAATCGAGGAAAATTTACCAATATATTCCCACTTTTCTACATTAAATAGGTTTTGGGTAATTGGACGCTAGCATCACTGCTACTGAGTGTTCATTGGCTGAGGTTCACGCTCACTGATGTCATGAACGTGTTAGTAAGTCCTATAACTGGAGCTCAAAAGTGCTAAAATATAACAATGTTGAAATACTTTGTGCTGTTCTTTGTTGAGAAAATTAGTGTTTTTTCTGTATAAAAATGATTAAGAATTTACAACCTACGATTTTGCACTAAAGCTCCATTGACAAGACATAATTGAGTGGCAGTTCTTATTAATAGAAATTCTCTGCTAAAACTGCTGACAAATGAACACAGACTGCCGTATGTAGTGAAAGAGATGGAGCCGGGAGAACTCACAGCTGTTTGAAATTTCAAATAAGAATTAAATGTCTTTGTATAATAACTGCATTTTCATTAGATTTTTTTTTTTACATTGTGCAGCTAAGGATTTCAAAATATAATTAAAATTATCTATAAATGTTTTATTATAGTTAACTTCAGTTTGCTAGCATGAGCTTACTAACCTAGTAAACTTAACTGTAAAGAAATTTTCTAGCTCTGATTTCTTTACAGTGGTAGTGACAGGAACATGGGGTCACGATGTCTAATGAAGTCATAATGCAAAAACAGCCATGTTACTTCCTATCTAAAATGATGAGTTAACCTACACATACCTTCCAAGTTTTATATGCAATGTTGATGTTTCCTTTGGGCATGATTTTGCCTTACAGTGCCCTGCACGCATTTTAAAAATACTTTTCAGGCCAAAGGCTTATCTCAAAACTTATGTAAAACAATGTCTCAGGCATCAGACAATGCATTTGTAACCATTTAATGTACTAGCTTTCTGTGAGGTAGCTTTAGGCATTGAGGCATTAAATGCTATGAACGTCTGGTTCCTATCATCACCACTGTGCACAATACTGACTCAGTATGTTTCTCTAGAACAATCCACTCTGAATGATTTTGTTTACTTCTCAACAATTGAAATATATAGACATTTTAGAAAATCTGTGAAATTCCCCTTTAAGAACCACTTGAAAACATTTAGCTAGACGGTGCACTTATTACATTCAAGTAAATCGTACATGTCACTGACTCCTTTCGGACTGACAGGCCTAATAAAAAATTCTTTCTTGCATCAGTGACTTGTACTTTGAAGACCTGAGCATACTTTTTTTGTCATTAAAGATTTTATTACATGTTTAAAATAGTCCTTCATTAAAAAAGCCAAGGCTAGGGAAATACATTTGAGAATGAAATGACTCACAGAACTTACAGATAAACAAAAGAGGCTTAAAATACTCTTTTAATAAACCATTTGGTGCTTAAACCTTAAAAACAAGCTTTTCCTGCTCACTCATCCATTGAGTAATGCGATCTACCAGAAAGATTGCCATATTAGCTTACATTATGTATCTGTCAGCTAGGATATTAACTGGCTGCACATGTGAGAGAATAAAGATAAGTGCAGCTCAAGTCAAACAGAGCCCTTCCAGGCAAGGAATCGAAAGGTAATTAGGAGAGGATGTGCAGAAGGACAGAACAAGTCTAAACATTTCTCTTCTACACCTGGCGTGCAGTCAGCTTTGAGAGTTTGTTTGTTCATTTGGCTATAAATGTCGTCATAAAGCACATGTGCTGGTGAGGAGAGAATGAGTATCCCTTCATTTGTAAATACAACTGCATTTTAAGAACCTGAGAGGATCTGCCCTTTATGCTTGCTGCAGTCAGGACTGAGACACAGTGGAATAAATGGAATAAGGCTGATTACAGATTACAAATCAAGTTAGTAAGATCACACCTGAACAGAATTCTTAGGTTTTTTGGAAGGTAGTACATGGCATGTCTGTGTCATTCCAATATCACTGTATCTTTTAGACACTATAGGCTTTGTTATGGCATAATATGTTGTAAATTTAATGTAAGCTGGAAATAACTGGATCTGTCTTGAAATTTACCGTGCATTGCACATCTGTTTCAGGAGTGTATTTCATGCCATCAATCTTCAAGCGACTTTAAGGTATTTATAGATTCTTTTTTGATCTTTGAGAATTAAGAAATGCTTGCACGACATGAAAGGACACTTCTGTTTTTCAGTGCATGTTAAAAACTGTCAAAGCCAGAGAGGCGTTCTCATGACAGCAAAGATGTACACCAAACTTGTTTCCTTGTTTCTACACTCATTATCCATTTAATCAGCTCCACTTACCATATAGACGCACTACGTAGTGCTACAATTACAGATTGTTGTCCACCTCTTTCTCTGCATACTTCAGTAGCCTTTTTTCACCCTGTTCTTCAATGGTCAGGACCCCCACAGTATTATTGAATTATTTTTATTCAGTATTATTATTATTTGAATGGAGGACCATTCTCAGCACTACAGTGACACTGACCTGGTGGTGGCGTATTAGTGTATGTGTTATGCTGGTACGAGTGGATCAGACACAGCAGTGCTGCTGGAGTTTTTAAACGCCTCAGTGTCCCTGCTGGACTGAAAATAGTCTACCAACCAAAAATATCCAAGGATAATGTTATGGCCGATTGGTGCATAACCCTATTGATTCTGTTGCTGGCATGTGCACTGATGAATTTTTTCCCTGAAAAGGGAAATCGGACAAACCTAAAATACATACAGTACCGTGAAAAAGTTAGAAACCTCTCTTTCATGTATTTAATTTCCAGTCAAAATGGCTAAGTATAAATTACTCATTTTTCAGCATCAGGAAAAGCACAGAAAATTACACAAAGGCCTTAACACCAAAATGTAATACTTTTTCAGTATTTAGTGTGCCTACTTTTTGCCTTTAATATAGTTTCCATTCTTTTCAGGAGAGTTACTTTCAGTTTTCAAGGAAATCTGCAGAGATATTTTTTGACACCTTCAAAGTTCAGTCTTAGACATTGGTTGTGTTTTCTGCTTCTCATAATCCAGGTAGTCTAAAGTAAAAATTTAGACTAAGCAGTTCATAAAACCTTACTCCACATTATAGTGAAGTATATGTTTTTTGTATTCTAGTGCAAAATTTCTTCCTTGTTTTCTATTTCATTTTCTTACATCTATTCAAACCCTTATTGATTTTCTCCTATCTATGAAAGATGAAAGCTTTAAGCACTGTTTATCTGATGGTGATAGTTATATCTTGCATGTTTGTTAGGAGTCCCATTTTCTCAATATCTTTTAATGTCTTTTGATACATTTCTGAAATTAAACATATTTTCCTTTGACTTTCTCCTTCTTTATGCTAGTGTATTATCTTGTATTTAATCTCCACAGAAATATCTCATTTTAGATGCACCTGAGGAGAAAAATTGAATGCGTCTAAAGTGTGTTTGGGTAGTTGCTTGTGTGAATATTAATATTTCTTTGAAGGGGAACATTGCACTGATTATAAATCTATGTCCTATTTATTTTCTTATTGTATATCTATCCTAAATGTTTTACCATTTTACTAATTTCACAGAGGCTGGTATATATATATATATATATATATATATATATATATATATATATATATATATATATATATATATATATACTCATTTTTCACATTTTTCACATATATTATATATATATATATATATATAATATGTGTGTGTGTGTGTGTGTGTGTGTGTGTGTGTGTGTACAGAATAAATACAACCCAAATAACAACTATATGGTTCTATCTCTCTTCACAGGTCCAAAATGGCTGATGTGGGAATATTTACTTTGCTCAGTCTTGTGTTTGGCTTCCAAGCATCTTTTCTCATCTTACCAGTCAGAAGTGAACTGTCCTGTCTGATATCTGCTGACCAGCGCAGAGCTAACTGCCAAGGCCTTCGACTGCAGCATGTCCCTGTGGAGCAGCTGCCTCCCTCTCTAGAGGAGGTAGATCTTTCCTATAACATTATCCAGGTCATCCGAAATATGGACTTTGTTGGGCTGCCTCTGTTACGGGTCCTCTGGCTTCAGTTTAACAACATATCTGTAATTGAGGATGAAGCCTTTCAGGAAAATTCACTACTAGAAGATGTGAATATCTTCAACAACTCATTGACAATTATTCCATCAAAAGCTCTTGCTCCACTCAGCAGGCTTAAAAACCTAGAAATGTCAAATAACCTCTACACTGAGGCCACTCTGGATGATGTGTTTTTGAATTTCAGGAATCTAAAAGTACTGTCCATGGGTGGTCCCGTTGTTGGTATTTTGAAAAAAGGGGATCTTGATGTGTTACAGAATGTGTCTTTGGAGAAGTTTGCCATCAAAACTGGTTCAAGTCTGGATGTTTATGAACCAGGGTATCTGAAGAACATCCAGACAAACAACATGTGGCTGGATGTGGCCATAGATAACAGAACATACGCACTCCCTATGATATTAAAAGACCTTGCAAACAAAACATTTGTGGTTCTCCGTTTTCGCAATCTTTTTGAGTTTAAGTATTACACAGACAAAGAGGATATTTTCTATGGCTTGAAGTATATCAACTCCCAGCAGCTGATCTTTTATCGAGGGAAATTCAATGAGGAGCTCCTGAGAATGGCCCTCATTAATTTGCAAAAAAGTCCAATTAAAAGTCTAGGACTTCTGTTCATTGATTTTGCCAGGTCACAGAGATTTGTGAATAGTGAGCAGGCATCCAGTGTGACAAATCTAGCGCTGGAAATGTTGGTTCTCTCGTAAGTATTACAGCCGTCTGCCCTGAATAAATAGGCCTTTTAACTCTTCTTAATAACCCAAGATCTTAGCATTTTGTCACAATCCAGTCTTATCTGATTTAACAGGGACATCAGCAACCCAGACATCCTGCGCTTTGACTGGCGTTTTACGTGGCTTAACAAGATCCATCACCTACACATACACAATGTCAACTTTAACACTGTGCCCTGTGATGCATGGAAAGAGATGAGGGGGGTTGAAATCCTGGATGTCTCCAAAAACCAGCTGAAGGACAAATATCTCTTTAACCAACAGTGTAACTACGGAGAAACGATGCCATCGCTTCGCACCTTTAACCTCAGCGATAATCAACTGACCAGCCTCAGTTCTTTTGCAGCTCTTGCTGGGGAATTCAAACGCCTGCAAACAATTGATATCAGTCACAACAAGCTAGGCTCCGAAGGGAACAACATCTGCTCCTGGAAACAGAACATCACTAAAGTCATTGCTAATCATAATACATTGGTTATTGACAGCTTTAAATGTCTCCCCACCACCGTGCTGTACCTTGATCTCTCATACTGTAATCTAGACCAATTAGACATGGACTACTTTAGAAAGGCCATTGGTCTGAAGGAGGTCTACCTCAGTGGTAACAAAATTAAATTCATTGCCTCTGGTTGGAGGAGCCCTAATTTGAAGTCACTAGCTTTAGATGGAAACTCATTTGGGCTTATTAGTATGAGTTCTTTTAAGGGAATGCCTAACCTGGAACGCCTCAGGGCAGGTAACAACCCCTACCACTGCACCTGTGATCTCCACACCTTTATACAGGAGACCACTGTCAAGGGTAAAGTCCAAATCACAGACTGGCCAGAGAACTACAAGTGCTACTACCCAGCTGATCTGCTTAATACAATGGTATCGCAGTATTTCCCAGGTCATGTAGCCTGTGATATCAGACTTGTCATCGTTATATCTGTGGTCACCACTGCGGCTGTCGTGCTGGCTATCATGTTATTGTGCTATGTATTTAGTATACCCTGGTATGCTAAAGCTACATACCAGATCGTCAGGGCCAAATACAGGGCTCATAAAGAAGGAGTAGGGCTGTCTATGGACTACACCTTCCATGCTTTCATCTCATACAGCCACTCAGATGCTGACTGGGTAAGGGACAAGCTACTGCCATGTCTGGAGAACAGTAGACCCCCTTACCGTATTTGCATCCATGAAAGGGACTTCATGCCAGGAAAGTGGATCATCGATAACATAATTGACAACATTGAAAACAGTCAGAAGGTATGTATAAGGAAATTCAACTAAAAAGAGAAAGTAAAACAATAACTTCTTGTTGTATAGAGACACTGAAAAGTAAGACAATAAATACAATCTTAGGTTTGGAAAACCAGTTGATCGCAGTCACAAAGGAACATTCTATTTTCGGTTTTCCGGACATTTCACACTGGCAAATCACATGAGTGTTAACTTTATCCAATTGCAAAACATCCTAACATCCTGTTTCTTCTTTTGAGGTTATCTTTGTGCTGTCACGGCATTTTGTGAACAGTGAGTGGTGCAACTATGAACTCTACTTTGCCCAGCAGCGAGCTATTGGCAAGACCTTAAGGGATGTCATCCTGGTGGTGAAGGAGCCCATCGATCCTAAATCTCTGCCCAGCAAGTACTGTAAACTGAAAAAGATGCTGAATACCAAAACGTATTTGGAGTGGCCTGAACAGCCTAAACAGCAGGTCTTCTTCTGGGCTCAGCTGAGGAGCGTCCTGGGAAAGCCGAATCTCATAAAACAGCACTCAGTCACTGAACACAGACGTGCCTCCAGACTGAGCAGAGTGTCGGTTATTGGGCTGCCAGTGGAGAACCAGGGGTCTGTAGATGTTCAGCCAAATATAGATCCAGATCCAGGAGCAGAGGTCAAACCTCAGACCACAGGAGAGACTGGAGATCATCCAGAGAACCAGGATCTCAAGATACCACTGGAACAGATGGCCTAAGCCTAAGGGACTGTGATTAAGTTATTTGTGCTGATTTAAGCACTGCATCTTGGCACAGCTTCATAGCTGCACACCAAGCAGGCAGAGAGTCACATGATGAGGACAGTAAGTGTGGTGATCCTTTGGGTCTTTAAGCATGGCTATCATCAAGTTCATGAATTCCACAAACACTGAGATAAAGCTACAGCTGGGCCTATGTGCTGACAAGGCTGAGACTCAACAGAGTGACAGCAATGTCCCACAATATACTTCTAAGCAGCAGCTGATCTGAGAGATATTGAAGGCAAAGACTGCATACTATCTATTAGCTCCAGCACAGTGCCTTATTTAATGAAAGTTTAATTTAATGAAAGAAAAATGACTCCACTTATACTAGCACTGGCACTTACCCAGGCATAGTGAGTTGTGAATGGTTGTGAATAGTCAAATACATCTGAGTTTGGAAGTGTGTATTTACAGCAGCTCTGCTTTCAGTATTCACTGCAGCAGAAACCTCCTCAAACAAGTTTGATCCAGTTGTTAAATTGCAAACCTGCTTTTTCATAGAACGTGGTCTAGACAAGCTTTGGAGTGACACATACTTCACTCAGTACTAAGGCAGAATTACAGTGAGTGTGGCAAATGACTGGCTGGCTCACTTTGTCTAAGATTGCTGAACTAAATTGGTGCACACAATTATAAAAATACTTTTAGAATCAACAGCTTTGATCAATGGAACCAGTAACTCTATCAGTGCAATGTTATGTCTCAATCATCAAGGCAATCTGAGACGTATTGTTTTTTTTTTTTGTTTGTTTTTTGTTTTTTTTTACTTATATAGTCACAAAGGATAAACAGCAGCAGGTGTCAGAATTATATTTTAGAAACCAGTTTAATTACAGCTATAGGAGTAAATGAATTAGTATGTGTCATTGAATTTAGAGGCATTCTAGATAACAGTGATGTGAATGTGTTTTGGATTGTTGTATTTGTTGGAATTGACAGCATGTGAAGGAAGAACAAATGAGTATTTTTATTAATTTAAGTATAAAGTATTTGAGTTTAATATTAAGTGTGAATAAAGTTTATCTCTATTAATTTTGTGGCCGGTTGTACAAATTACTTTTTAAAAATGTTTTAACCTTTTTATTGAAAAATATATATGACAGAGAGTGATAGATGGGTGGGGTAGGCTGAGAGAGAGAGTGAGACAGGAGAGAGAGAGAGAGAGAGAGAAAGAAAGCAGGTTGGAGGGGTGGGAGTGGGGGAGAAGAGAGAGAGGAAGCCAAAATATGGACAGTGCCAAAGATTTCATTTGTTTTTGTTCACATTTATGTATCAAAAGAATTGTGGCTTGTTGAGTAAAACTACTTTCAGCTCATCGAGAGAAAATTAAATGTCTTGGTTATTTTGTCTTCATTAAAGAAAGAGGCTCTCCTTTAGCACTGATTCTCCTTTAGTACCTCTGCTCTGCACATTTCAGTGCTTTTAGTTTTCACTGCTCCAACACACCTGATCCCACTTGTTAGCTAATTAACAAGTTCAAACGGTGCGCTGGAGCAAGGAAAGGAGCACAGAAAGGAGCACATGGAGGAAAGATGTGCTGAGGGAACAGTGGTAGAAATGGATCACTGACAGGCCCAGTGCACAGGGGCCTTGGGAGACCACAAGGCCTGAAGCTCAAAGACTGGGGACAGTCCACTGCATGTACAAAATGACATACATGAATAGCCCTTATATGTAATTATGAAATAAATGCCTATATATTTCCATTGTTTTTAAAGTAATTAAAAATAGATCAAATATTTTTTTAATTCATATTTTTCCTTGAGGTTGACTTATGATGTTTATGATTGGTACACTGTGAAATTTTAATAGTGTTGACATACTACACAAGCCCTTTTATTGCAGAACATGAGAATTAAATTTTCCATGATAGGGGTCCATAATATTGTGGCGTCAGAGCACTCCTGTGTTCATGTTTACTTTGTTTGCCATTTTACCTCTTGTATTCTGTTTGCTGTGATGGGTTTCCAGTTATGGTCCAGAACCTCGACCCGTATAGGTTTCTTCTGAGAACCCCCTCTGTTACAGTATTTTTGGCATTACTGTCAGTGTGTGGGGGGACTCCTAAGACACTTGTGCCCAGAGAGCCTTGTGAGACCATGATCCAGCCCTTTCAGTAGATGGCACTATTTCACAATCTTTGCCGCATGCTGTTCAGCCAGGTTATGAGTATCTCAGCTGGAAAAGTCTAGGCTTGACCCAACTCTGAACTTCACCCCTTGCTTATACACTGGCAGTCAAAAAGAATTACTGACGTACACTGATGTTTAGCACATGATTTTGATGTGCTTAATCTGTCTGTTCATTTAAAGGAGGAAAAGCAAAGAAATACAGTAATCATGTTCAATATAGGGTAACACATTTTCATGCTGATATGAATTAGTATATTTTCCTTACCACAAAATCAGTGCACTAACATTCAGAAATAAATAACATTAATAATAAAGAGAACACCATTTCTGTTTTGGACCTGCATGATTTGATAGACATACACAGAATGGGCTTTCCAAACATCTTTTTGTAAATTACAATGACCTGAACACCGATACTTTTTCATCAGAATTAAAATTTGTTGTCAGCTTCACTCCTGCACACCTTCACTGTTCCATGTTCACCTTATTGAGCTCCTGAAGGTGATCATTAGCTAAAGATGTGACTCAGCTGCAGGTGGAGTAGGGGGCTGGAGTGGAGTTTGGAAACACAGCTGTAAGCTGTTTGGTGTGGAGGAGGAGGCGCCACAAGAGCTTGTTCCTCTGCACAGGTGAGTGCCTGCCATTTAGAGAGTAAGAAGCTAGAAAGCTGAGACAAATTCCTCACGCCTCATTTCCTGCTTTCACTTGGTAAGAAAACTGTTTAAGTAATTTGTTTTGATAAGTGTAACAAACAGGTCAAGTCTGAGATGCAGGCTAGTCATCTGAAATGGATTAAATGATAGCAAGTACATTAACAAAAAATTAACAGGTGAATTAATTTTCACCTATAATGCATGCTTGGTTAGGAATCATCTTTAATGTTATGTAAAATTAACCTTTAATAAAATTACAAACCTGTGTAGTCTATTACAAAACATTCTATCTAAAGTACAGTGTGTGTGTATATATGCAATATAGAGGGTTATAGAGAGTTGCTTAGAGTTCATCTGTGTGCTGGTCTTTTCCAATAGCAATATGAATCTGATATTGTGCATCCATTATTCTTTAAAACAATGTGTCTGGATGGTCATGTTTTTTGTATTTTATATTGGTTCAAGTTAGGCTGTATAATGTCTCAGATTTAATGTCAATCTTAATTTGAGTTTTGGTCACTTTATTAGCTCCTACTAGGGTATGTGTTAGAAATAGCTTAATGTCAGATGCTCATTCTCAACCCCTTAAGCTGCAGACAAAAGGCTGATTAAATATTTGATGCACTCCTGTCCTCCTGTTCCCATTGAACATCATCCGTCTGCTGGGGCCAAACCACTTGTTACCTCTCAGACACCGGATCCCTCTTTAACAGAATGTGTAAAGTTGCTCTGTGGATCTGAGGTAGTTATGGGGTCAGCAAGTGTTTTATGCTGTGGAGAACAAAGTCATGTGGTCAAAAGAATGATGTCCATGAGAATACTTTCATGAATGCTTGCAGGGCATCCCTGTAGAAAACATGGTTTCTCAGCTGGAAAGTGCGATGGAAAGCCTTATAAAAGTGTTCCACACCTATTCTTCCAAAGAGGGGGACAAATACAAACTCAGTAAAGCAGAGCTGAAGAGTCTTCTTCAGGGAGAACTAAGTGACTTCTTAGCAGTGAGTTCATTTTCCAATAGCTTTATTAAACCTGTCAAAGTTATGCTATTTTTTTGACAAAGTTGCTTGCTTTAAGTGTGATTTACTGCCTTATTTTTGACATAGGTACAGCACTGGCCTTACACAGAGATCTGAAACTCTTGCGCTCTGTCTCATTTTAGGCAAGTAAAGATCCACTTGTTGTGGAGAAGATAATGTCTGACCTGGATGAGAACCGGGATGGGGAGGTGGACTTCCAGGAGTTTGTAGTTCTAGTTGCAGCACTTACTGTGGCATGTAATGATTTCTTTGTTGAGAGTATGAAAAACTGAGGTCCTTCCAGGTTATCTGCTCCTCATTAATAAAATGTATTGCACTGATATTTTGAAAATTCTTTGTCAGGAAAGTTTAAATGACTTCTGAAGTCCATAACTTTTGAATTTTTCAGTCTTAATCAATTCAGATCATAACAGCTGTTCCTCTAATGCGTGCGTGCGTGTGTGTGTGATATAAATAACACACACAATGCCCTAACTAGTTTTACCCATCAAGTGGAAGGCATTTGCATTTAATGACTTCAGCCAAGTGTAATCTGCAGATGACTGTACATCTTCAATGTATAAGTAGTGCAAACGTACTTCACTTTTTTCATTGATATTAACAGGCTTTGTGTGGGTGTTAAGCTTTGAAGTTAAGGTGAGCATAGCATGCAGAGGTCGGACGGATATATAGCACAGCTTATTGTATAGATCCAGTTTGTATTGAGCAAGGGTGCCATCTACAGGTGAAATTTGTTCATACATGCTGATGCGAGATGAGGTAATGATTTGAATTATGGACTTAACTGCTTCCTTGACTGTCTTTTCTGAGACTTTCGGCTCTAGTATCTTGAGCTTAATATTGATTTTGGGGTGCATCGCTCACAACTGTTTTGCTGCACAACCAGATTTTGTCTTTTAATATAAGACGTGTGCATGTACACTCCAAGCTGGGATGCAGGTTAGGGAAACCAGCTCTAAAGCAAGTAAAAAAATAAATAAATAAATAAATATGCTTAAATCTTAAGGTTTAGCAAATGAATGTATGCAATTTTCTTGTAAAAGGTGTTGCTCAAGACATTGACACTGGTCCTATTACTTCTGTTAATTTGCAGCTATTCTCAAATCTTACCCACTGTAGTGTTGTACAGATTGAGTTCATTTTTGCACCATTTTAAATGTTTTATGAGATGAGCCAGAGATCCTGAGCTCTGATAGCTTCATTAATGCGATTAGGTCTCAGGGAAGGCACAATAGCCAGAGGCTGCCAAGGTCCAAAACCCAGTAGTAATCTAAGACATCATTGCCCAGGTCCATCTAGTAAGTTAATCATGTATCAAACCTGGTAATTAATCAGAGTCATTAATGTAAAACAACCCGTGTAACACATCCATTCTGGTAACTATGTGAGAAGCAGTGGGGTCTGTGCCTGCACCATCTGTCTTTTCTCAGATATTTTAGTCTTAGCAGCAAGGAGGAATAATCTGGTGTCTCAAACTTGTTCATAAACCAACAGACACAGATTTATAATGTATTTAAAAATACTAAAAAACAGCAATAACACAATTTAGACAAATTCAAGTATTGCATGAGGCTGTGTCACTGCTGACATAAAATACTGGGACAGTCTGTTGTTTGGACATTGGAAAAAGGCATAATCAAACTAAAAAGAACTTTCAAATAAAATTCTGCTGGCAGTATTATTTAGTTCAGGACCTGGTTTTGTCCAGAAAAGCAGATAATAAAGCCAGAAAATTCTGCTGGAACAACTCAATGGAAAATGCTTGTCGGAGGAGAGGTTGGTCAGAAAAAAAATGTCTGATAAGCAAGTTTAAATTCAGACCACTGCTTTCATGGACATTATTTCCCTAATAAGCAGGTTTGGATTGTTGTAATCTGTGCAACCTCTTTTTAAACAAACCCAGTCTTGAGGTTCTGAATAGTAACTGCAGATGACTTGGAACTGCTCCACTAATGAGTCTCTTCTCCATCTGCTTTTGGTTTTACTGCCACCAACACAAGGTTTCGAGGGGAAAGGGCTGGATCAAACAGAGGAACTAGCTGGCTCTGAAAACCTGAGAACACATACATGAACATTAGCTTACTCTGCAACTAGGTGTATAGACATGCTACTAAGCACTACATGTGTACTAAACATATTTAGACATTGATTTCACAGAAAGATCTACAATTGCAAAATTAGTGATAAATGCAGGCTGTTAAAGTCATCATACACAACTAATGCCATACATTTAGCTAGATAAAATGTGTCACCCATTTAGAGAAAAATCAAATAAAGTGCTACATTAAAAGTAAAAGGCATCCTTAGTTTAAAATGAACTACTTATCTCTCTAACCATTGAATACTCAAGCCCCTAGCAGTCCAGAATGCTTACCTCTCTCTTGCAGAAACAACATTCTGTCCAGCAGCACCAGGGTCTCCACCACTGGAGCCAGCAGCAGAGCCAGGCTAAAATACACCACCACTCTCCCCTGCTGCTCCAGCATGCCTTCCACACTGACACGGTCAAAGGGCAGGTCAGCAGGCAGTCCCACACGGGGCAGTCCCAAACGGGCATACCTACAGAAGCAAAGGCAGAAGGTTAAATGGTGTGCTGGGTCCTCAGAGAAAAAAAACACAGACAAATGTTATGGGATGTTTTTTGCAGGATAGTTTGGACAGAATTAAATCAGTTATCTGATTATAATATGAAATAGACTTGCAATTTGTGTTAATGTATGATGTACTATTACCTATAAAAATGGACAGATGAAATTCAGGGTTCAAGACAGTTACTACTACTGTTTTTAGCTATGCAAATCACACTGGCACTTTTTATCCACTGTATGTTCAAATGTATCCATACACCACTTCTAATCAGCGAATTCAGCTACTTTAAGGTGCATCTATTGCTAACATAGGCTTTCAACTGTGCACACACAGTTTGTAGAATCTCCTTAGAAAAGCATTGTTAGAACACGACTGGTGTTTCCATGAGGTGGAGCAGTGTAACTGTGATCTCTGAACAGATGGAGCTCCATCCAATAACTTGATAAGTTGGAGTGGTGTTTGTGATCCAGAACTAATCCTCCAACGTCAGTATCTGACCTCAAATGCACTTGTGGTTGAATACCATCAAATTCTCACAACAATGTTCCAACATCTAATGTAAAGTCTTCACAGAAAAGCAGAGGCTTTGTTATTGAAGCAAAAGGGGGACACACTCCCTATTAATGCTCTTTACATCCAGAAGAAACACTGGATTGGCAGGTGCCTACAAGGTTTTGTACATGTAGTGTAGATAACATTAGGCCTCATAAGCAAGTCTGTTTGAGGTTACTGGTGTAAAAATAACCACTTGATGTGGCTTGAGGCAAGTGGGTGATGACTTCGGAATGTAGGTTGCATAATACTAAAATAAGCCTTCGCTTACTTGTCAGCTACAGACAGGTATCAAATTAAACATCTGAATAAATGAATGGAGAAACATAACTAGTGCAGATACTTCTAGAGAGGACTGCATGACACAATTAAGCAATTAACATCCTACCATGCTCTGTGATAAAAATGCTGAACAAACCCAGTTCACCTTTTGGATGAAGATAGCAAGATGAAAAGATCTACGTGAGGGTTCATTATTGTGGCACGAATGGCTTCAGTCAAAAACACTGCTCAACTGGCCAGTATTTCAACAAGTACAGTGACTAAATTGACATTTGCATTTAGCGCTGCGGAAATACATCAGTAAATAGGGTTTGGAAGTTGTGGTCAAAAGCACACATTCAATGAGCGTGATGCTTTAGTATGTAAGGAAAAACAGATGAGAGACTGTCCCTCAGGTGACTGAGAATGTCAACACAGGACGTGATTACACTGTGTCAGCAAGAACAGTCCATCCACAACTGCATAGAAAGGGGTAATGTAGTACAGTTCCAATGAATAAACCTCTCATTACAAAGATTAATGCACATCTGAGAGTTCGGTGGCACAAAACCATAAGCACTGGTCTACACAGATGTGGAAAAATGGTCAGATGAGTCATCTTTCATCATATTCTTAATGCATGTGTGGTGTATACCAAGAGAATGGTACATGTCTGAAGGCTTGACCCCTGAAGTGAGGGGGTCGAGTGGCTCTGTTATACTGTGGGGAGTATTTTTCCATCATGGTTTTGGTCCACTTATTGCCTTAGAGGGTCACTGCATAAACATACAAAGTTATTCTGACTGATCACCCTGATCTTATGATGAAACATTTCTATCCTGATGGGAGTGGTTGACAAGGCCTCCCATTTACAGGGCACGAGCGGTCACCGCATAGGGCTGCCACGATCAAAAAATTTAAGCTGACGAGTGTCATATAAATAATTACGATTAGCAATTTGGCATGTTCATTATATACATCTATTAAAGTACAAGCCAAAAGTGGCTAATAAGCTATGTTTACTATCTAACCCTGGTAGTACTGTTGAACTGGTGCGCTACACTGTTGTGTAAATGCACATACTCTCATACAAAGAGAGAGAAATTTTAAACAAAAAAAACTCATTCTGCTATGATGCATGCTAAAAACATGAGAATTAGCTACATAGCTAATACACAGAACTGCCATCTAAATGTGTTATAGCACTAAGAAGTGTTTTTTTGTTTTCATAAGTTCCTTGATGTGCACAATAAACATATTTTCTACTTACTTTCATTTACATTCATTTGCATCAATCCAACACACATTATTTGCTGCAGCTTAATATTATTGTGAAATCTAATGTGGAAAATGATAATTGCAATCATCTTTAATAACTGCAATTATCACAAATAACTGTGATAATTGCAATGATTATGTAATAATTTTGACAGGCCTATCACCACATGGCTTGATGATTATGAAAATGCTGTAAAACATATGCTATTAACCACAATTATAAAAACTTCAATTGAGGGAATAACTTTTGGAAGAATAATGTTTCATCCCTCCAGTTCCAGAGAAGTGCAGAATCTATGCCAAGGGGAGTTAAAGCTGTTTTGGCAGCCCAAAACCTTATCTACTTTGTGTTGGGTTTACCTTTAATTTGTCACCCAAGTACTCTCTCAACAATGATTTTGTTAATGTTTTATTATCTATTTCAGCTAAAAGTATCTCAAAATGTGTGGTCATTAACTGCTTAACTGGACACATCTGTTTTTAAAAGTCTATGAGTCCTAGTCACACCATTTCTGGAAAGTTACAATGAGAGCAATACTGACTCTGAAAATGACAGCATATGGGCTTTTTTGATGGTCTGGATGCCAGCTCTGCGCAGCTGAGGCCTCTCTGATCTTATGATGCTCTCCAGCGCTGCTCTATAGCAATGTGTTTTCAGCAACGCACTTTCCTCTCTTAGTCTACGGATATAGTCTTCTACTGCATGGCATGACCCCTCTCGAGCTTTATAAGACAGCTCATGCTCAGCCAACCCTTTCACCCACTCACTCATTGGGTAACCAAAGGACTGTGACACATCGTTTGAGTTGTCAGAGAGAGGAGGTGGGACAACTCCAGGAGGAGTGGGGTTCTCCTTGGTAGTGATCTTCATATAGCAGCATGCTACAGAGGTGATTGCTTGAACATGGGGGCAGTTAACAAAATGACGGAGGAGAGTAGCACTCAGGTCTCCACAAGCGTGAAGCCCAGTCAGGACAAAATCTGAGCTGTTGGGTCTTTTATTACAAGAACGGACATCGGGGCATATGGCTGAAGTCCATCCAGAGGTAATGTTGGGCATAGCACCTACAGGTGACTCATTCAAAGAGTCCTCCTTACGGAGATGGCTTAAAACAGAACTACTGTGAAAGCGAGGTTCTGCTGTCACAGTGAGTGATTGGGCTGCACGGTCAGAGTTATCTCCATCGTGTTGGTGAAGCAGAGATGAAGACTGTCTCTCTTCAGTATCAGCTACTGAGCTGCATTCTTCAGTGCACAAGTGTTGGCTTCCATGAACAAGCTCCCTTTCAACCTCAGGTCCCTGGTCTGACACTGATACCCGTTGTCTCTTTTTACACGGTCCAACTGTGCCTGGATAACTCTCACTTTCTTCTCCCCCTTGGCCCAGCTGCTGGAGGAAGACCTCCCAGGTGGCTCTGGGGTTGACCCAGCCAAGCACATGCTGAGGTGCAGGACCAGCTGTTGAGAGCTGAGATACGCCAGTCTGAAAAAGTGCAAACAAAGAAATGGGCTTACAGTGAGATGGTAGATTTTTTTTAAACTGTTAACATTATTTTTCACCTTTTCCTGGAAATGTAGGGATAAACTTAATACAGGATAATAAAAAAAAAAGAAGAATTATACCTTTTGATTCTCTTTGGCCAGTGTCAACAAGAGCTGTCCATCAAATCTGGAGGCCATAGAAACTAGGTTGGGATCAGCTTCAATACCAGTAACATCTAGACCGAGTCCAAAGGACAGAAAACGGGTCAAATGGCCCTACAATGAATTAAGGTGGTTAGTGCTTATCATACTGTAAGTATGATATACTAAAAACACTCTACAGTGGAATGTGATAGCAAATTTACCTGCCCAGAACCAACATCAACTACACTGGTACACCGAGTTTGGTCACACAACTGCTTAACCAACTGAAATAAAGCAGGTGGAATAAAGATGAGTTAACGTTTATGTTTATGCTGTTGTAGTGAATAGAATATTTTAAAATGACACCTGTTGATATGGCTCATTTCAATTATGACTTACAACAGCTTTGATTGATTGAAATATCCTTACTTACTGTTCCAAGCTTGCGGATCTCATGCTGTTTCTTGGGTTTCACATGTTTTCGGAAGATGTGACCAAGCAGAGAGCTCTGGCTTCTATTGGAAATAAACTCCTCTGGTTTCTGTAGACCCACTGTGTCCTGCACTTGGTGGCCTGGAGGTGTGCGTGGAAAGGCTAGCGTGTGAGCTGTGGCTCGAAGTGCAATTAAAGATAGAGGCCAGACAGAAGGATAACTGAAAGGAACAAAAGCTTAAATTGTAATTAACCACAATCTGGCCAAAAACAGACAAAAAAAACTGGTTTCGTGTAAAGGGCTAAACACCTTTGTGGTTGAAGCAAGTGCACGGCACTCTAAATAGCCTAGCAAGAGGCATGGGCAATGACAATATTTATTGTTATTGTGTTAATATTGTCACAATATTCTTTTCTGAGCATATTATGGAGGTCATTTAATTAATTTAATTAACACTTAATTATGTTAATACTTAAAGAACACTGAACAACTGCATGTGTCATTACAGGGACAATATAATTAGTGCAGTATGTGAAACATTGTATAACCCTGTTTCCAAAAAAGTTGGTATGCTGTGCAAAATGTAATAAACAGAATGTAATGATGTGCAAATCATTTAAACTCTACATTTAATTGACAATAGTACAGCAAATGTTGAAACTGAGAAATGTTATTGTTTTGAATTTGATGCCAGCAAAAAAGTTGGGATGGAGCAACAAAAGGCTGGTAAAGTTGTGTAATGCTAAAAAAACACTAATTACTTTAAGTGGCAACAGGTCAGTAAGATGATAGGGTTTAAAATGAGCCTCCTAGAGAGGCTGAGTCTTTCCGAAGTAAAGACAGGGTGGGTTTTGAGAAAAATATTTTCTGGAGAAATCTTTGTATGCACATTACAAGTCCGAAAACCAGTATTGGTTGGCTATGATCTTCAGGCCCTCAGCCAGGACTACACTTAAAACAGACATGATTCTGTAGTGGAAATCACTGCATGGAATCAGGAACATCTCTGAAAAACCACTGTCTGTGAACACAGTTAAAACTCTATCATGCAAAGAAGAAACCAAATATAAACAGGATCCTAAATGGTGCATTATGAAATGAAAAATACGACAAAGGAGACTCTGAACTGTTGAACAGCTGAAATCCTATATCAAGCAAGTATAGGAAAACATTTCACTTTCAAAACTACAGCAATTTGTCTCCTCAGTTCCCAAACACTTGCAGAGTGTTGTTAAAAGAAAAGGTGATGTAACACAGTGGTAAACATGCCCCTGTCCCAACTTTTTTGGAACGTGTTGTTGGCATCAAATTCAAAATGGCACATATTTTTCAATAAACCATAAAATTTCTCAGTTTCAACATTTGATATGTTGTCTTTGTAGTATTTTCCTTTAAACACAGAGTTTAAATGATTGGCACATCATTGCATTCTTTTCGTATTAGCATTTTGCACAAACGGTTTTGTACAAACATTATTGTATTAATAGTGTTTCATAGTATTTTTTCAATGTGACACTACTGGTTCTTTTTTTTCTTTTTTCCAACTTACCACACCACAGAAAACTAAATATCATGGATGCACCGACACTGCCACTGCACTCTAGCATACCAATTAAACTCAGTAATTAACTGATAAGTTGAATCAGGCATACTTCAGCAGGAAAGCCTCCAGGACTGGGGGTCCCCATCTCTGCAGTAGATCAATGGTTTTCTACACTGATCCAGGAATGCCTCCTGCCCAGCACATTTTAGAGTTTACCCTGCTCTCAACACAACATATCCAACTAACCAGTTAAAAAAGCCCTCCTTGAGTTGAAGAGATGTGTTAAGGAGACACAAAATGTTATGGTCAAGGTAAACTCAGGACCAGGATTGGGAACCAGTACAGTAGTTTATACATACATTCTGTTGTTGATGTCCTTGTCCAGTAGCAGATCTGCAATCTGAGGTGCTGTCAGATCACTCAGAGCTCTCTGCCATCCTTCTGGCAATGTCTCCCAGAGGTTCTCAGTGAAAAACTCCTGAGTTAATAAGTGACAGAGTAAATAATATAGTAACAATTAAGAATAACATTAAGTAACAGCTGTGGTCCTTATAATTGCACACATCTAACATCAGTCACGGGATAGTCCTTTATTGTTCGTTTAATAACTTGTTCAGTGGATTTAGAAAATACTTTTGAACCATGTTGTTTTTTTATTCGCCTACATATAATTCTGAACAAACTATAAGAGAGAAAAAAACTGTGACCATTACAATTATGTAGGAGTCGGATATGTGTTTGTATCTGGACAGGAAAGATGTGATCCTCTTGGCCAAATCCTTCTGCTGCTGCTCTGAAAACGTGGCCGACATCATGATCCCGAATCAGTGTCGCCGAGGAACAGTTCACTGATCATCGGTTTTGCCGCCCTAGAAACTAACTACGGTCTCATGCTAAGCTAATTTACTGTCAGAGTGCTGTCTGAGCGAAATGCATGTTAACGCATGTTAATAACTCTATCTAGCGGTGTTTGTTAGAGGAACACACGAACAAACCCCCCTGCCCTCCAACCCGGAAATACACGCAGACCGCGCACATGCAACTAAAGTCCTCCACGTACTGACTGGACATGAGTGGGGTGGTACCCAGTGTAAGTTCATGTAGAGGGTTTTTTTTTATACCCCGTTGTGTTTATTTCCCCATAACTGTTGAAATAAGATGTAAGCAATTCGGTTCACTGATTAGCAAAATGGACACTCGGGGTTAGTGAACTAAGCCCGGAGCCAAGCGCAGAGCTGACTCTCCGGTGTTTTACCTCATTATAGCTTAGCCGTTAGCTAGCGAACGTGGCTTAGCTTCACTAACGTTAGCCAGTTGTTTTGGTTACCGTTTGAAAATAAACTCGCTCGCTGACCAGCCTGCTGTACACAGACTAGCTGCATTTTAACAGGTATAACTGCCCTCGTTTATTGAATTATCGAAATGAAATGGCACTCGTTATTTAACTAGCTAACTAGTTAGCTTGTCATTCACTGCCAGACTTTTGTGTAACTTTTTTTTTCTCCTTCGTTTTGGTGGCAGACCAAAAAGCTAAGTTAGCTGAGATAGTTATAACTAACTTAGTACATTCGATTCTTTGCTTGTCATCCATTGCTTGCGCTGACTTATAGACTTGATATTTGTAAACACGTGTCCTCGGTAGCCTGATGAGGATCTGCTGGGATGAATGGATGTAGCGCAGCCTCGTTTAGAAAGATAAGCGATTTAGTTTTATCGTCCGTTTTCACAGTCAGGTCGTGATATTCATGTACCGTGGGAGTGACTTTAGGAGTCGATTTTTTAATTCCTTATTATTATTATTATTTTTTTTTAGATGTTTAGACCTGTTTCTGTTATTATCATGTTACGCAGTCGTTGTTTATTTCTGAGTTTTCTGTTGTCTTTTCTGCAGATATATCAGCTTTCCAAATACTTTTGGTTACCCAACCTTTTTAATTGTATGTAAAACCTGCTCTAACTTAAGGATTGTTTATCTGATGTGAATAAAAGTATGTAAACAATAATAATATACAATAAGGTTTATTTTTATTCCACTTTTCATATTAAAAAAGTTCAAAAAACAAAGAGAATTATGGATAAAAAGTAATTTGATAAGAGTTTGAAAAGTCACCACAAAGAAAAAGAAAGTTTTATACTAAAAATATATATTTTTTAGATATTCAAATTGCACACATTGTCTTTCTTCACGTAAAAAAAACATAGTGCACCTAATAAAGTCTAATACATATATTTCTTCACAGACTGGACAGAATGGAATCTAAATGGAGTCCCTGGATCGGTTGAGCTTGGGTGTTCTTTTATCCATCAGAGTCTCAGGATCATTGGGCTAACTTTTTAACTGAGCTGTATCCTCTGAATAAGAGAGCTTCTTAAAATCTTTGTAAATATTCCTCAGACACATCTGTTCAAATATGTCTGGAATAATGCTAAACCTGGACTTTAATGGCTCAGGCCATGATGGGAGACAAATGAAACCTGCTGGAAATGCCAAGCACAGACGTTTTGTTAAGAAAAGGCGCCACTTGGAGAGGAGAGGTCTGCTGAATAAAAAGCAAAACACAAATAACTTTCGCAAAGAAGGACACGGGAACAACCAATGGCATAAACAAAATAAAAGAAAGGACGATTCTCAAGCTGGTGCTGTTTTCCCCAAGTTTTCTAGCGGTCAGTGTGAACTGTCCATGAAATCTTCCAGTTCTGTGCAAACCGACCATGGAAACTGTGCGGCAGAGACTGACAAGGAATCCATCGTGCCTTCAAGTTCAACATCTTACAGAGAATCCACTTCAACTCTGCAGAGAGTGGTACCGAGTCTCGGAAACCCTCAGAAATATATAGCCCTTGACTGTGAGATGGTAGGAACAGGGCCCAAAGGGCATTGCAGTGAACTGGCCCGCTGCAGCATAGTTACCTATGATGGAGATGTGATATATGACAAGTTCATCAAGCCTGTTAATCTGGTCACTGATTACCGCACCCGTTGGAGTGGGATCAGGAAGCGCGATCTCTATAAGGCAACACCTTTCAAACAAGCACAGAGAGAAGTAAGGAAACACACCATAATTGTATTTGAATCCCTCATGATTTTATGGTTTAAGCTGGTGAATTGATGTATAATTGATAACCTTGTCCATGGTTTCAGTGTCACCAATTGTCTGTATTTTTGTATCATCCCACAGATTTTAAAGATCCTCTCAGGGAAGGTGGTTGTGGGCCATGATGTTCAGAATGACTTTAAGGTTTTGCACTATTCCCATCCTGACTGCCTTACACGAGATACTTCACGCATGCCATTACTGAATCAGAAAGCTGGACTGCCCGAGGACCGCACCGCCTCGCTGAAGATTCTGACAAAGCTTCTCTTCAACAAGGATATACAGGTGAGTTAGACCCAAACCTCTATGAGAAGCATGGTTGTGAATTCTTCAGAATCAAATAAGCTGCAGATGCTTTAGGTAATAAATTAAAGGTTTTGTTCACAATTAAACTTGAATTTTGTTTCATGCTTTACATTGAGAACAGGCTTTACACATATCAGTGCTAAGAAATATCAGTGCTATGTTATAATTATTATATTTCACATTGTACCTATTAGTGAAATAATTGTATGTCAGTTGTTATTCTTTTCTCCTTTACATATATGTTTGTCATATTTTCTGTTAGCTTCATGTACATTCAGCTTCTCTCTGCTTTTAGTGAATCTGCTAAATTTTGGGGATGCATTTTGACATCAGTGCCCACATTTTGCTTTTTTCTTAACCTGCCGTAATTCAAGGAGGGGCAATTCAGTGTGGTTTCATGAAAGGCAGAGCCTGTCATCCCCCACCCAGCCAGTTGTGCAGATTTAATTTGAGTTTACTAATTGTTTAAAAAATAAGCTAATAGATTTTAATCAGAAATTCACTCTTGTGTCCTCAGGTGGGGAAAAAGGGCCACTCATCAGTAGAAGACGCGAAAGCCACCATGGAGCTTTATAAATTGGTAGAGTTGGAGTGGGAAAGGACTGTGGCGTCTAAATCTGGACACTAGGGGGAAAATATTTCTGTATGATGGCCAGTTTTTTTTGTTTTTTTTTAATTCTGAAGCAAATGTGTTTTCAAATCAGATCTCACTCCTTGAACCATACCCTTTTTACAGTTACCCTCAGGCACTTCTAATCTGTTCTGCATTAAGTACCACAAGGGGGCTCTAGTTTCAACAGATTTTTAATTGTTCATGCCAGTTTTACAATCCTGATTGATAAGTCTTTGTATATCCTTGTTTTTAATATGTTTGTTTGTGCTTGTTACTCTCTGTAACAGTAAACAATGGTCATTTTTCAGCACAACTGTTTTGAGTCTAACTCTGATTTCAGTTGAAATGATTCTTGAATTACAGGTAAAAGATTTGCTTAGTCTGGCTTCTCTTTCTCTCTCTCTGCCCTGTGGATGTCAGGCTGGTGGCATGTCTGAAAAGGGAGTGAGAGTTAAACTCCCCTCACTCCCTCCCTGTTTTAAAGATTGTGGTCAGCATTTTTCTCCTGTCATAAATTCAACACAGCAGCATTAATTGCTAAGTGACCTGTTTCCAAAACCATCAATGGCACCATCATAATACTGCCACTTCATAGATCATCGCTAAGTTTCTCAGTACAGGCTTTCTTTCCTCAGATCCTACCCATACATCATTTAGTCAAAGTTATATCCATGCTATGGTCTTACCCTGAAACTATACATACACTATGGATGATCTTTGGATAGCGGCTATCTACTGTAGTGCAGTTACTGAACTCTTATTCAGCACCCAGAGAGTCTGAGCTACTGAAGTTGGGCAGTTCTCATAATATGTCAGTAAACCTATAAAAGCTTTTTTTCTCAGCATTAGTTACAGCAGACTACAAATACAAATACTACAAATACTTGCTAAAAAAAAACTTGCAACAGGCAGTTACATGAGGAAAGAACTGATTCTATCGTGGAGTTCTTCATCAAATTGTCTTGTATTTCCTTTAGAAAAAGACACATTTTAGCTGGAAAATGGAGCCTTGCTGAAAAGTGATGGCAGACAGACTTGCATACGTGGTATGCCAAAGCTAGACGATATTCATTGTGAGTTCATAGTTTCCTGGTCGTGGTCTGACTGGATATGACTGGTCCTAATGGTAGCAGCTGTGCTGGATGTGTGGTTATTTTTAGCTCAGGCTGTGAATGCAGACCACATGTAATACTGTTGTAGGATACTGGGTGTAATCAACAGAACATTACTTAATTTGTAATTATGTAGAGATTATACTAACAGCAAATAGAGTGTTGAACTGTGTTCACTTACAGTGTAGGCTACTTTGAGCATTATGCATGCTTTCAGACCAATTAATGGGACAAGACACATTGGCACATATTTGACTAAACAGTCAGAAGCTGCCAATGGGCCATATTTTCTGTCCCTTACTGCTGCAATACCTCAGTCAGTTTCCATTGTTTTCCACATGAATGCTGAATAATAAGCCTTAGGATGTATGAAGCCTGGAAAAAGAGCTAATCACAACTGATTAATTAGTTAAAATAATGTTCAGGCACCCTTACCTTTGTTTGCATTTTGTTACTTGTTTTCATCCAGTGTTTCATTCAAAGCATCTGGCCTTCATCTGTGTTTAGATGAGCCTGGCAATAAGAAAGAAGCTAGAAAAAGGACGTCAAAAAAAGTGAGAACAACAGGAGTTTCCAAAAATTATTAAAGCTCCACTCTTGCTTCAGATCTGAAAAAATCTAAAGGTGATTCTGTCCATTCTTCCACTGTGAGATGACAACACTGTGAGTCTGTAAGGGTGTGTAGATGTCGAGAAGCTGTTTCTGAGAAAAGGAAAGGAAAAGGTAATTGTAATAAAGCAGTTTCTTAGTAAAATGGACAGTGTAGTCCAGAAGTGAGTATTGTCTAATAGAACAGTCCTCATTTTTGGCTTCAGTTGTCTGGCTAACTGTGAAGTCTTGTCCTGTGACACACACCCCAGGTTGGCCTACCCTAATTGCAATGCCATTTTCTAGTTCCCCCACAATCATGACATTTTACATCAGTAATGATATCTTGGGAATCAGTAATCACTGAAAGTTTAAGGAAATTAAAACATAAAAGTACTGTTGAAATAACATATATTAATGTGGTGGCTTTTTGGCAACTATCAATCCCCTTCAACTTGTCTAGAGTTTGCCTTTAACTAATTATGGTGGAATCATGGTGATTTCTACCTAAGGTTTTGGATATCCACTGTGCCATGCCTATGTGTATCCAGATTTTAAAACAAATGCCCTTATTTTCACTGTATTTAATGCTTTAAATTGGTTAGTTTGAGAGAGACCACCTGGCTGATTGAGAAGCTTCCTAGTGCTGTTCTTGTCTGCCCGTGCTTAGCCTATATGTTAAATTCCTCCAGTGTCTGATTCTCTGGCTGGCTTGTCAGTGAGAAGAGGGCTGTACAAAGCTGTATTCACCCTCCTCTTTCTCTGTGGGTCATCCCAGCTGCAGCGAGGCAGATTCACCCTGCTGTCTCATTCACTCTGTGTGCCACAAGATACCTCAGTGCCTCTGTGTCCACAGACATGAATCACAAATGGATTGCGTTCATGTTTGCTGACTTGAATCACAAATTAGTCACCTGCTGGGCATTGATATGACGATGTGAATTACAAACAGAACGTTTTGCTGCTTCACCACTATTCCTGAGGTGGGCTGTGACACTGGCTTGCAAAGCTTTGGCTTGCCTTTTTTGTTTGAGCAGGAAAAACATGTTCCTCTCATATGGATGTGATGGTGAGGGTTTATGTGCTCTGCTGGCACTAACTAATTTTCTCTTGTACGTACACTTGGGCTTTTTTAGTATTTCAACAGTAACTTGTCAGTGTTGCTTCTAAGAGAAATCACCCCTTATACATAAGTTCCTAAAGCAGGCAAACATTGGATAGAAAAACACATTAGCCATCATCCTCACAAAAGTGATAAAACACCTCTGTAGCAGTTGCACACCTCCTCTGTGAGTTATACTCCTTTGGGATGTACATGTTCACAAGGATCTTGATGGCATAATGTCGCATTAGTATATCAAGAGGAATCTTCTCCTTCATCTCCTTCATATGTTTTAAACATGTAAACTTTAGTCTAAGATGTCTGGCTAAAAAAATATTCAATGTAATGTGGAACATTTTAGCTCATCAGAAAAAAATAATCAGTTGATTTGTATGTGTGTGTTATTTACTCTATTTTGTCCGCATCAATATTTAAAATGCCAACTGTAACTCACAGTGAACAATGCTGTCTCTGTTCTGCACTGGCTGTGGAACAATCCCATCATATTAGGCAATTTATATGGATTTGCTCAGCAGACTTTTAGGGCTTTAGCCCACAAGTTTCCAACCGAGGTACCTGATATACACACTGCCCTGCACATTTTTGTGTTTTCCCTGCTCACACTGCTTACCCACTACACACATTCACTCAAAAAGGGCTTCTTAGTTTGCTCATTAGTTGGATCAGGTGTGCCAGAACAGGAAAATACGAAAATGTGCAAGGAAAAGGACTGGGAAGCAATTTTATCCTATCCTATGATGGTTAATGTAAATTTATGTGGCTTGAATGAGCAGTTAATCCAGCACATCAGTAGAGCTGTTCTACTGCAGCCACACTCATTTCCAATTTAAAATTCAGCAGAAATCAGTCAGTGTTGTGTGGTTGTTGGTTGGATTGTGCAGGGGAAAATGTTCTTTGACAAGAGGACAAAAACTGGCCACTATGCTGAAAAAATAAATTAAAATAAACAGCTTGGACAAGCAGGAATTCTTGGTTTAAGCTGGTTTATGCTGGTTTGGTGTTGGTTCACTAGCATCCAAAACATGTGCTGGTTTTGCTGGTGACCAGCTATGCTGCTCTTTGCTGGCTTTTATAGCAAAGTTAGTTTTTGACTCACTTAAAAAATAAATGGGAACCGAACATGTTCAGGCTTTTTAAAATGCCAGCTGTGGTGGCTGACATTCTGCCATTAAAATGTATTTTTAACTGCTGGTTTCCCCAACTATATATTTCAACGTGGAACCGAGAGATAGATCTTTACTTCAATTGTAGCTCATTAGTATTAGGTTGTCAATACTCTAGTATTTTAGTCAAAATGCTGATTTTTCGACTGACAAATTCTGAACTTCTAGCATGAGTCGGAGTCAATGGTTAACGCTGAACAGCAATAGGAAAACAATAAATCTTTTAACTTGTTAATTATTGACCTGAAAATCAGCCAGCCAGCCAGACTAGAAAAGGTTACGCTAGCTCCATCCGAGTTCCAATCTGAGGTAGGTAACTCCAGGTGAGTTTTTTTTGTTTGTTTTTTTTTTGTTTTTTTATTAAAGTGTATTTGTAGTATGGTGTAAAAAGAAAGTGAATCTCAAAAAAAAAAAAAAATTAAAAAAAACTTGTTGTAAACTCAATGACAGCATTCTTAGTGCCCTAACTTGATATTCATTTCATAATATTTTTAAATAAATAACAATAATACAGTAAATAATAAAACATTTATGTGAAAACAAATCAACATAGACACAAATGTGAACATCCAGTAAAAATATTGTAGCGGTGAGGGGGTAGCTTCTGTGCCTAATTTGCATACTAAGTATAAAGCCTTGAGAGAGTTCTGGTTGAGTGGTGTTAGGCAGTTATTTCTTTATATCATTATGTTTTGTGTTATTTAGTAGGAATTCTGTTCTCCAGACTAGTCTATGTGCATGTGCCCAGTGTTCAATAAAAGACACTCTCTTCCAGCAGGAGCTTGTCTAAGTCTGCTTTTTAAACTGGTGTCAGGAGAGGGATGACTTCTCATGAGAAGAGCAGCACATCAGAGGAATAAATGCTTGTTGATCTGAAGCAAATTGAAGAAGAGGTGGTTTTTCTGGAAAGCCAGCTGACTGCAAGATGAAGAATGGCAGCTGCTGTGAGGACTGTCAAGGCTGAGCTGGATCGGCGGTCTGCACCACCATATGGCACTGAAAAAGAGGGCTGTTGGCGCCATGTCATCAGTCACCCAATAGCACCCCCAACTCAGCTCCATATCAGTCATTCAGTAGTACCAAGCCAACCTCAAGTCAGCATCCTGGCAGAATTGAAGGGGGGTACCTATAAAACATCACACACCCACCATGGGAGACATATCTTGCCCAATTCCAGATAGCAGCTTGGCATAATGGATGGGAAGACGGAGAGATGGCAGTCCAGTTAGCTCTGGGACTTGGTGGGTGTACCTTACAAGCCCTCCTAGACTTGGGGCCAGAGGAAAGCAAAGACTTTAAGCAGCTTTCCACTGCACAGCAACAATGATTTGGCAGGCAGGATTTAAGCCAGTCATGAGAGAAAAGATAGCAGCCGGCCAGCAGAAAGGAAGGGAGACTGTTGGTGCCTTTGCAGCAGATATTCACTACTATGCAAGACTGGGTTATCCCTGCTTCCTAAATCACATGCAAGAAGAGCTAACCCTTCATTCTTTCCTGTGTGCTCTTCATCGAGAGACTCTGACAGCAAGTTTGCCTGGCATCACCCCCACACTCACCTGGGCCGTCAGTGAGGCGGAGAGGGTGAAGGATGTACTTGGCCCAGTAACCCAGGAGCTTCTGTCCTCCTTTCAGGTAAAGCTTGAGGAGGAGAAACAAAGAGGCAGCGACAGAAAGTGAGGCAGTGACTTTTCAGGTCAGCAACGTCGGGCCACCACTATCGGGAACCCAGAGGGATTGAACGACCAATGTTGTCGGTGCTGCAGCCTGCAGGGGCACTAGGCTTATGCTTGCCTGTTCCCCTCACCTAACAATGCAGAAACAAAGCCAGTGGGAAATATTCTGGGGTGGTGCAGCAGGGGACATGCCATCCCAGACAGTAAATCCCCTTGTTGGACCATGAGTCGGCTGGGTTGGAGAGGCACCAGAACTCTACCTTTCTTAATAAAAGCAGGCATTCTGTTGAAACCAAAGAGTGTCAAGATTGTGATTGCAGGTCACAGTGTCAAGCTTGATGGCAGCAGCATGCCATGTCATGGGAGTCAGGTGTTACTTAAAGCCAGCCAGCTGCATCTACAGGAGCAGGCCATGCCGTCACTAGAGACCCACCAAGCTGTTGAGGGGCAGAGGGGCTAAACCAACATCAGCACCAATAACTCACTGGTCTGCTGCTGTTGATGTCTTTGCTGCAAGGGATGAGAATTGTGGGATACAAACCTGGTACAAACCTGGAGAGCTACACCAAGGCGTCTTTGTCTCCACCATCTGTCTCTCACTAAGAGACAAGCTGCTGAACAAGAGCTGCAGGAAATATAGGTTGTGCAACTGTCAGAAAGCCCCTGGGCTTTTCTTCCTCTCGCTAAGAAGAAAGACATAGCTGACGATTCTGTGTTGACTACCAGCATCTCAACAGTTAGACCAAGAAAGATGAGTACCCTCTGCCAAGGATCAATGATGCCCTTGATCACATCACAGGATCAGGCTGGTTCAGCACCTTGGATTTTTGCTGAAGCTAAGCTCAAAACTACTTTCACTTTGGGGGGCGGGGTTTATGCCATTCTTACTCTGCAGTGCTACCTTTGAGAGGCTCATGTAGAGAGTAATATACCCTGGAGCAACTGTGTGGTCTACCTGGATGATTTCTTGGTGCATGTCCCATGCACTCCAGAACCTGAGAGACGATGACAGCTATACAGAGAGCTAGCCTTTAGCTGCACCCCAAGAAGTGCTGCCTGATGCAACAGGAAGTTTGTTTCCTGGTGCATGTTGTTGGACCAGATGGAGTAGCCACAGACCCAGCCTGGAGCACTGCTGAGGTAAAGACCTTCCTGGGTCTAGCTCAGACTGCTAGGTAGCATTTACCACAATATGAGAAGCCCTAGTAACTGCTCCTGGCCTGGCATATCCTGATCCCCAGCATCCATTCATCATTGACACTGATGTCAGCCATGAGGGAATTGGAGCAGTCCTGTCTCAAGTTGGCCCTGAAGGTGAGCTGGTAGTGACCTACTATTATAAGGTCTTTAGCTCATCCTGAGCACAGCATGCCATGAGCTTCTCACAGCCCCTGTGAGGAGGAGAGCTGTTGATACTATGCACAGCTGGAACAGACGGACAGAACTGTTGCTATTGTGTCTGCCCTCCAGGAAGCACTGGAGGAGCCCCTCCTGGCTCTAGACATGGAGGAGATGAAGGGAGAGCAGCAGGTAGACTCCACACCTAAGGTAGTCTGCTGTTGGTTGGAGTGTGGCAATCGCCCCCACTGTGAAGCAGTGTTCTCCCTCAGTCCTGAGGAGAAAGTGTTCTACTCCCAGTGGGATTGCATGCTATACCAGTAGTGGAAAATCTTGTCACAGACATGTTCTGCTATCAGAGGAGCTCCCTAGCAATCAGGAGCATAACTTTGAGGTACTGCTGTTTTGAGAAGTCTGCCAACTGCTTGGGGTAAGGAAGACCCAGACCACATCTCTTCATCCTCAGACCAACTTTTGAAAGAGCGGTTAACCACACCCTGGCTGTCCAGTTGGCTATACTGACTGCTGAGCATCAAAGAGACTGCAACCAGCACCTCCAATTAGTAATGTGGGCCTACAGTTGAGCCATCCAGGAGACCATGAGCTGCACCTTAGTGGCTTTGATGTTTGGGCAGGAGCTCTTCACCCCTGAGAACCTAGTGCTTGGGCAGCTGCTGAAGCCAGAAATCCCTGGCGCCCCCAGAATGAAGTACTTCACCAAGCTGTATGAAAGGCTTTTAGTGGCCCCCAGTTTTGCCTGTTAGCACCAGGAAAAGGCCAGGATACAGCAGAAAAGAGCTTCTGACAGCTTTTGTCATGGTAGGCCTTTCAAGAAGAATGGGTTTGGGTGTGTGCCCCTCATTTTAAATGTGGGCTCTGTCACAAGTTAACCAGCCAATGGGAAGGACATTACAGGTTGCTAGAGCGGCTCTCTGACGTGTTGAACAGGATCTAGCTGAAGTCTCGGAACCGGGTGGTGGTTCTACACCATGATAGATTGGCTCCCTACCGGATAGTCATCCCACTGTACGAGAATCAGGATGGAGCATCCACTTTCCCACCACTTGGCTCAGTGCACTCACTGGAAACTACTTGGTAAGGACACTTGACTGTCTTGCAGCCCCTGCTGACATCACCGCAGGCCTCCAGCCTGGCAACAGGACTATGTGGTGGACTACAGGGAGGTCGAGGATGACTTTCGGTACGTGCAGTGTAGTGGTGGGGGCATGGCCTCTGCACCTAATTTGCATACCAATCATAAAGCCTTGAGAGAGTTCTGTTTGTTAAGTGGTTATTTCTTTGTATCACTTTGCTTTGTGTTAATCAGTAGTAATGCTGTTGGAGGACAGTTGAGTTGTTTTGGTGCGCTTACCATAATTGCATTTACTAGCGAGCAAGATTAGTATGTCTCTGTGGGCGCTAGAAAGGGGTTCTCCCTGCGCTGTAGACTAGAGTAGACTGCCTGTAAACTAGACTGTCTGCTCTCAAGACTAGTCTAAGTGCATGTGCCGACTGTTCAGTCAAAGAGCTTCTTTTCCATCGTGAGCTTGCCTACGTCTTCACATTACAATATAAAAACAGGGCTTTCTTCAGTTACAGAGCAAACACAAAGGGGCTTCCTGTTCTGTTTTCCAGTATTGGACTAAGAATTAAATGTGGAGCCTCTTATTCATGTGGCGCCCTTGCTACGGGCAATAAGCTCAACCACACATTCACCAAATCACGGCACTGTGCTTGCAGGTTTAGATGACAAGAGTTCAAGAACGTTTTCAACGCCACAGATTTCGGGGGACCCGTCATTAATGCTTTAACAGTGTCCGGAGATGAGCTTCGAGCGATGGAGGATCCTCACGTGCTGCCCGCATCAGCAACACTGGCAACTCAGAAGATGCTCTTTCTTACTGTTACCATTTCCACATTAATCATCTTTCAGCGGTTGCATGAGCTCACCTGCCAGCCTCTGGGAATCAATCTCTCTGAACAGTTCCTACTTTTGGAAATACTGAAACATTTCCATCTGCACGACCAGCAGTCCTGTCCCACTAAATCATCTCTTGGGGCAAATAAGAAAGTGCACCCTGTCTGTTGGCAAGAGGTGGCTGTTCACAAAGTCTCTCTCTCTCTCTCTCTCTCTCTCTCTCTCTGCTACCCTGCTTCTTCACTCTCGCGCTCTGCCTCCCTCTTTCTTTCCTCTTTGCCTGCGGACAGGCCACAGGTTTGTCCTCTTTCGTGATTGCTCTGAAGGAAACTACACTTCTGGTGTAAGAACAGAAAAAGCAGGCTGCCTGAAGATCATTTTAAAACAGATTTTTGGGGATGCGGTATGTATCATTTCTTTTATTTATTAAAAATGTTTAGTTGACAGTCAGTATGGGTTTTAATGCTTATTTGGTGTTTAGTCTTTTTGGACAGATGCCAGTTTTCAATGTAAGTGGGCCACCCATAAAGCCTAACTACTGGTTAATTATTTTGCTGTTTTTAATGTAAGTTTTTTCTACAGTGCAATACTCTTATCAACCTCACTGTACATTATTCATCTTGCATTAGCTCTGACTACACTTATTATATATTGTTTGTGGCTTTATTTTCTTGTAAGTGGTGGTGTGTTAGTACACTTTTTTGTATAATTAAATGAGACAATGTGGAGCAGTGTGTAGTTGGTACAATTCTGTAATTACAGTAAAATTACTATGTGAAGTTTTGAAGTTCTCAAGCATCCATTAACCACTCACGTCTCTGTCTTTCCTCTGTGGCTCTTAATGTTTGTCTTTTCACTTGATTTCAGGAGTCATTTGGGTTATGATGGTGTGTAGATGGTGTGCTATGATGATGTGTAGGCTGTTTGAAGTCCTGTCAGGTTTGCTGAGTGTTAAAGGCACAGAGCATTTAGAGGGCAGACACCTGTTTTTGACATTTTACTGTAAAACGGTTTCCTTATGTTGACTGTCCAGCTCTCTAAAGCTGTTGAAAATGGTACAATCACATGAATCTGTACCAGCTATGGACATCATTTGTCATCATGACAGTTATCTTCTATATTGTTCATAATACCAGTTAGTCAAAGCAAATTAACATATTTTTGAACAACTGGAAGATTATTGAACCTGCCTGTCTCAGAAGAATGATCTTACTGACACTCACTTGTGATTACCATATAGGTATATTAATTTTACTCCCTTTTGGAAACATTTGAAATGTAACTCTATGAAATGATGGAATAGCTTCTGTGATGATATACGTGATTATTCAGTTTTTTGTCTATGCTGTATCCAGTATTTAAACTCTGGCATAAGCTGCTGTTTAGAATGCTGCACTATACAGCTACGATACACATTCTCAGCTCAGCTCTCAGAATACCGAAGAGTTTTGCTCAGCCTGATAGTCTACTCCACCTGAATGTAAAGGCCTTGCACTTTTTGCTGGATATACTGCAGATTTCAGTAGGGGGTGAAATCAGCAGTTATGCACCTGGGGTATGACTCTTTTGTAGACTGAAAAAAGAAGGCAACACAGCCAAAACTCTTGAAATATTCAGAGAAAGACTTGTATATATGTGCATTTTGTGCCTGTCTGCTCACTTGCTTGTGAGGATGATTTATGACTACCTGTTTATGTTAGGCAAGGACTGCAGCTCAATCATTCCTACTGAGCTAAACAAAGCTGAACATTTTTGTAATCTCACGGTAGATTGTAGTTTGGTTATGTAGTATTTCCAAGTGATAATAAAGCAAGTTTACAGGCATTGATTTTTGATGACTATTTATTTATTTGTATGTCTAGGCCCTTTTTAAATTAAATTAATTCCAGCTCCATGGACTATAATTACTTCCTTACCCTTGTGTTTAAATATCCCCCTCCTTCAAAAAGCCCTGCAAGCAAAATAGCTCATCTGTTGTTTTACTGAAACTAGGCAGTATTCCTAGTTGTATACTGTTTTTTAATCTGTTTATGCATTTAAAAATGTATACATCTTGTACATATTTGCTGAAAAATGCTAGACAGCTAGGCCATCCCATACAAGACATGTCTGACCCATCCTGGGGGAAGAGCGCATACGACAAGTCTTTTAATCTAAATGCACTCAACGTATTACTGAGTAATTACTGTGAATGGCTTATTAACCACTATAAAACTAATATGGTGTGAGGAACTTGTGTGGGCCTATATATAAGCCATTTGAGTTTAAATGGTCAATAATGTCCATCTTGCATGTATGTCAAATGAGTTTTTTGTTGTGTGCATGATTACACTAGAGCTGCAAGTTTTCTGTGCTGCAGAGAGGGATACAAAATGCCAGATCCACCACAGTCTGTATGCCTATTGCCTCAACCCTGCACTCAAACCTGAGGGGCGAGAGGGGATTACTGTATTACTCAATCAACTTTCTCTCTCACAGTCTCGTTCTCCATCTTTCCCACAATCTCATTCTTCATCTCTCCATGAGTTCTGGTCAGTTCGTTCTTCTAAATGGGGTGTTGGTTGCTCCTGGCAATGGGTCGAATCAGACAGAGTCATGCAAGGTTAGAAGGGGTGGGCAGGGCTTCGTGAGCAGTGAGTGGAGGATGGTCATGGCCGGGCTGATGGCAAGAATGGATGAAAAGCAGTAGACAAAGCTGCATTCCACAGTGATAATGGCATGTGGGAAAATCATGTGCTGCAGTTTATAATACCTCATTCTAAACTGCCCAATGAAAGAAAATGAACTAGCCATAATATTCCACAAGGCACATAAATCTCATTTTATAAATAAATGAGGCCAGCGAGGAGTGGAGAGATTGTCACGTGGGCAAAGTGCAGGCACGGAGTGCACAGGATCTGGTGTGATGAGCAGCGCACCACTCCCTTGTCCTCCCTCTTCTTTCTTTCTGCAGCTCCTTCCTGTTTCTCATTCTCTTCATCCTAACAGGACCCTGCTCTGGCGTCCCTCAAGAAGGCCCAGCCTCCCTCCTAGCCTATGCCATTTCCCAAAGTCATTCTGTATTCCGGACAGCAGGCCTTGGCCACGATGCCTGCTTAAGCACTCCTGAGGTTGCTGGGCTGCGTCTTCCCCGCTCGCCCTCCAAGCAAGCAGCCTAGCTTTTTTTCCCTTTGGATTATGGAAATGTGGTCATGGCTGTAGGCCATGCGCTGAGAGCCACTGGGGGAAGAGCGGCTTTCAGGAAGCAGAAACGTAGATCAAAGCTGACTGCTGACCAAAAACTCTCATTAACAATTAACAACAGCCAGACCATCTTATAAATGCTAGACAGACAGAGAGGGAGAGAGAGACAGAGGAGGCGGTGAATTCCTGGGGAGAGAAATTGAGATAAATGGCAGAGAGAGCTGGCAGCTTGATTGCAAGTTTAGGTGTTCCCTGCTGAGTCTCTCCCACCATTTAGGTTTCCTCCATTTTCTCGAAGGTTTTCTGGAAACTGCCACTGAAAATTACGAGTGCCTCTCTAATTTCCTCCCAAGTCCAAGCCGGGCATTAAGTCCAAGATTCACCCTGGTTAGGACGCCCATAACACACCCAGTGATTTTCTGCTCAGCACTGCACTTTCTCTCTTTTCACATAGTTAATGCCAGTTTCCATCACTCCCAGACATCCAGTCCCTCTCTCTCCCTCTCTTCCTCTCCCCCACTCCCCTGACCTCATTTGTCCATGTCTTTGTGAAGAGCACAGTGATGTCAGGAGCTCCTGCTCTTGTGTGCCTGAGGCTTTCATGTCCATAGAGTGGATTTCTTTGGGCTTTGTAGTTCCTGTCTTGTACTTACAGTAAACCGCTTCTCTCAGATCCCTGGATGCGAATTCTTTATGGGTCATGTCTGTGGCAAAGTCCTGTTCTGTAATTGAGAGCATACAAGTCAGGGTAAAATCAAGGATTTGTGGTTTAAAAAAAAAAGCTTCTACCAAAGCTACATGCCATCAAAGAATATTGCTGCTTTTTGTCTTTTAAGTTAGATTTTCAACCATTTTTAAATATTTAAAATAGGATAGGTGGAGTGCAGATGTTTGACAGTCGAATGATTTGCAGATCAGGAACATTTTCAAAAAGAAACATGTCAGTAAGGCCAAATGCTTAAATGTTCTTCCTGGTTCAAGTACACAGACTATTAAACCATTAAAGACGAAAGGCCTACTATGTTAAAGTGAGAAAAAAAGTTTGGTATTCAGTGCACTATCCTGACACAAACCCCACACCAGCACTGTAGTCAATCAATTATTTAGCCCATCTTACACCCCAAAGATCCCTCTCTCTTTCCTATATGAAAACTCAAGTCGTTCAATTGAACTTTAATGAAGTGTCCATGGGCACTATTAGACTATAATGTCTCAGACTAGTGGTTTGTATTTTCTAAAGTCTTTAATTTCAGACTCTAGTTGCTTTTGAAAGAAAAAAAAGGCATAGAAAGAGAGGAGGATGACAGATTAGACTTCTGTAATTATACTCTAAGACAGTCATACCTAGAGTCAACCTTAATTTAGGTAAATTATGTTATGGTGTAAGCCTAAACTGACTGACCTCACATATGAAAGTAAAAATGCAGACACATTTAATCATCTACCTACTTATGTACATATTTCAAATGCTAAGACAAGACACCCCAGTTAAATGCCTTGTATCATCTACAGAATGTAATAAACGGAACTCATTGCATTCCTTAACGTACTTAAGTGCACAAATAACACATCTAAAAACGTTGCAGACATTTATAATCCACCAAAGTTGCTGAAAATGTGTGTCTATCTTTGTCATGTCTGGCTTTTTAAGTACTTTTAATGTGGCATGATTATACAGTTCATTCACCCTTTTCAAACACCAGTGCAATGGATCTAGCAGGTGGTCCTCTTTATTTATTTCTTCCACTCTTTCTTAGAGACTGACTAAAATGATTAAAATGTTCCCCTTGACTCAGTTTGCTGTGCATTATATCAAAGTACCAATGTAAACATGCATTTGTAAAAGCTCAGCAAAGAACAGAAAATATATAGATATATATATGGAATACAATATGTTTAATAGTTAAGGACAGATTGGTAGTTTGTTGCATCATCAGAATTCTGAGCACACCCCAGAGCTCCCAGAGCCTACTGAGTTTTGGCTCCTGCCAGCTGGAGTACACACAGGGTTGCCAGATCCCCTATTCAGCAATCCTCAACCGCTGAGTCAAAAGTCAAACGCAAATGTGAAACCACAAATAAAATCTGTAGACGCAAATGCATTTAAAGCTAAGCAAAACAAATTAAAAGGATACAACAAAAATTATAACTTTGCAGAATCCACACACATAATGCAGGACCACACCCTATGAGAAGAGGTCTACTTCTTGAGTTCTAAATAGCTTTACATGAGCTAGTTCATGACTTGCCCTCTGTCTTTTTGGTATTCTGCATTCATTCTTCTTCTTTTAATGGCATACCACATCAATGTTAATAATCAGTACTCTTGTTCAGTTGTTTTAAACTTTCCAGTGAAAGTTTATATTGTGTAAGACAACAAGATCACAAATTCTGGCAAGAGTAAAATGACAAAGAAGACATATTTAGCTCCCTCTCTCTCTCTTTCACTGTCTCTTGCTATTTTTCTCTCTCTCTAACACAAATCCTTTCTTACTATATATATGTATGTAAAGGCACTCTCTTGTTTCTTCAGTGAAGGCTCTGTACAACAGATCAACATATTTGCATATTTTGTCTCATTTTTGTCATTTTACACCTTTTGGCAAAATCGTTTCCTGTGTTGTCTTCAACAGTAGCCAATTGACCTTACTCTGCCTGTCAAAATTGTTCACTTTAGCCTTTCTCCATTCTATTCTTGCTCCCTGCTCAGATCAGTGATGTTCTTGTCTCTGCTGCTGTGTGCCATCTGTTCATTTGTCCTGCCGTCCTCTGCTGTCCCCAGACCAACAGCAGGTGAGTCACCTTCACTTACTTACTCTCAGGACATGATTAATGAGACTTGACACACAGGGCATGCAAGGCCTTTCAGTGTTTTACTGCTGTGTGTCCCCAGAGATCGTTCTATACATTTAAGGTTCCTCACAGAAACTGCGTAGATAAGAAGCCCAAGGGCAGAGCTGAGGAGTTTCATTTGTTGGCTGCTTATTTGCTAGTTCTCTTACAGTAATGCGGCCTGACTTGAAATGGCCTCCAGCAAAAATGTCTCAGCAAAAGTGAACACTTCTCACTTTTTTTGCTTTTGTAGGCTATTTTACCACTAATAAAACTTGTTTATGGAGAACTCACAAAAGTCTTGTTCAGCTATAGAATTATCAGATTACCATCCTCATTTCTATTGTATCACACCTCAAGTCATATCTTTTACTCAGATGAAACCAGCCTCTTGCAAGTTACCATCCCTGGCACCCCTCCTGTGTCGGCCATTTTGGGAGGCTCTCTGACTCTGCCATGCCTGATGTCCCTGTCACAGCCTTCACCAACTCTGTCATCAACGGGCCGGCATGCCGTGCTCACTATGCCAAGAGTGAAGTGGAGCATGCTCTCATCTGGACGAGAGACTGAAATCCTGGTGGCCCGAGGGGAGAGAGTGAAGGTCAGCGAGCTTTATAAAGGTCGGGCCTCACTTCCAAACTATGACTCATCTCCGTCTGACCTCACTCTCCAACTGGACGGCCTGAGGCACAGTGATACGGGATTCTACCGCTGTGAGGTCCAGCAGGGCCTGGAGGATGCTCATGACCTGGCTCAGATCAAAGTGAAAGGTAATTATTATACAGCCCCTGTCAGCCAAAAAAAAACCCTAAAAATCATGTTTGTTCCTTGACTAATTGAGCGTTTCAATGTTTCATAATATAGCACAATATAGATGATCAAAAATTACCTGTAATAAAATCTCTTTACATTAATGTGGTGATTGGTAATGCTAAAATTAGAAAGCATTAGTGAGTTGTACTGTATATTCTACAGCTGGTACCATAGCTATTGCTGCTTAGATGAATATTCTTTACAATCTCTAAGCCGTACTTATATACTAAATGTCCTCAGGTGTGGTATTTCACTATCGACATGCCTCCAGCCGCTATGCTTTCTCATTTGATGATGCCAAGGATGCGTGTGAGGACATTGGGGCTCAGATTGCCACTCCAGAACAGCTTCTAGCTGCATACAACAGCGGATATGAGCAGTGTGATGCTGGGTGGTTATCAGATGGCTCTGTCAGGTGAGAGGATTACCACATAATAACTACTTTAGTTCTACAACCTGTTGTTATTAGCTCTTGCTGCTGTTAGTAAATGTATAAGAGGTAAGCATAATTCAAAAGGAATATCTGTTCAATCGTTGTTATTCATTTCTTGAGGAAACATTGTATATTACATGTTGAAATAATTTAAGATTTGGTATCAAATTAATTTTAACAGACACCCTCTTTCAGATACCCTATCCAGATGCCTCGTGAGGGCTGTTTTGGAGACATGGATGGTCTGCCAGGGGTCCGGAACTATGGCATGATGGATCCCGATGAGCTTTTTGATGTGTATTGCTATATAGAGAACATCAATGGTAAATGTACCTCTTTTGTTACTACATTTCTTCACTTTAATAGACAAGCCATAAATACAAGTGTGGTGTATCATGTAATTATTTAGATAATTTTTAAATTCTAATTTAAGACTTTTTTTTTTTTATCAGGCAACGTGTTCCATGGGTTCACCCCGCAACGCTTCACACTGGCTGAGGCTAAAGCCTACTGCAAGCAACAGGGTGCAGTGTTAGCCTCTACTAGTCAACTATATGCTGCATGGAATGATGGTCTTCACCACTGCAGCCCGGGCTGGCTAGCTGATGGCAGCGTACGCTATCCCATTGTAACCCCACGAGAACGATGTGGGGGTTCTGAGCCTGGTGTTAAGACAGTGTATCGCTACAGCAACCAAACAGGCTTTCCAGAGCCTCACACTCGCCATGATGCCTACTGCTTCAGAGGTAACAAATATGATATGGTTTTAATTTTGCTAGGGATGTTTTGTTATAATTCATACTCATTGTTCTCACTCGTGATCATATTTTTTCTTGCAGTTATTTGCTGCATAAAATTCATTATATACTGCCTCAAATTCATTTTTTGTCCACAGGAAAACTCGATTCTCACACAGTTACCCCTGTAGATTACTTGGCTACAGAGCCAGAAGACATTGGCCAGGACATTGTAACTTTAACTGACCCTCAGGAGGAGTTCAGTCTGGGTCACGTGACTCAACACAAAGAAAATGAAGCTCAGGGGGCTGTTGAGGCCTTCCCTATCTCCAGTGAACAGACAACAGTGGAGGCAGATGAGCAAGACCCTACACCATCCCTACTTGAAAAAGTTTATACTACCACTGTCAACAGTAAAATTCTCACCACCCCAGCAACATATGGATGGGAATCTGAGTCAACTCAGAAGAACTCCTGGCAGGAAGTACTCACCGACCCCATTCACATAGAGTCAGTGCCGGAGATACACCTACAGCCCAATCGTAATTACCCTATGCCAGTAGAGGGTTCAGACACAGAGAAGAGCACAGCTATATATGAAGTTAAGAGTCACAATCATAAACATTATCAGCCTATGCCAGACACAAACCTGGAACCAGGAGAGCGAGTGGACTACAAAATCTATCTAGAGAGCAAGCCAGAAACTACAACTGATAAGTTAGAGCTGCCTTCCGACTTTCGGGAGATTGGAGGATCCAAACATTTCCAGGAAATGCCTGAAACCAACCTTGATGATCAGGATGGAAGCCATGAGGATGAATATACAACTACCGCAAAGACCAACCTTGATGACCAGGATGGAAGCCATGAAGATTATATACAACTACAGCAAAGACCAACCTTGATGATCAGGATGGAGGCCATGAGGATGAATATACAAGTACAGCAAAGACCAACCTTGATGATCAGGATGGAAGCCATGTGGATGAACAAACAACTGCAGCACAGACCAACCTTGATGATCAGGATGGAAGCCATGTGGATGAACAAACAACTGCAGCACAGACCAATCTTGATGATCAAGATGGAATCCATGTGGGTGGACAAATAGCTTTAGTAGACACATACGCAGGAAACACCACTGAGCCACCAGGCCTGGATCAAAATCTAGTCTACACAACACAGACCAGCTCTTTTGTAACCCCTGAGGGATCTGAAGATGAAGTGATCACACCACCTACAGAGAACACTTCTCCCCTTGTCATACTGAGTGAAGATGGGAATGGGAATTGCTCATCTGAAACCACCACAGACGGTAAGCAGAGATAAAAGAAATGTGTTTTTTTAAAGTTTGTCATTTTCAGTTTGAGATCAGGGCAAATCTTACAACATATTGTAGATATTATAATGCTATAATAATAACCTTTTGATGAATTTTGTTCAGCTAAAATTGTTTGTTTTTGCCCCCTGACAGGTTTAAAGTCCAGTCATAAGCACCCTGGTGTTACAGGCACTTTAGCTCCTGTAGATGTTGTGGATCAGGAAGCAGGACATACTTCAGCAGAAAACCTAGTATTTTTCAGTTTTGCTTTTAAAGAAAATGATAATGATTCATTAGTGACAGTAACCCCTACACATCAAGGTGAGAAAGAAGTAGAGTCTTTTGACGGTTCTGGGGACCATGATGATGTCCTACTACTGACCCTCTTGACCACACCTGTACCTCACATGTTGGACACATCCAATACTCAGAAAGCTATGGAGATGGAGACCACTTCAGCTGTTCCACAGAGTAGCACTCTATCTGGCTTCAGCGTCATAGAGCAGGAGGTGAAGCAGGTTAAGCAGGAGGGGATTGGAGAAGCACCTGATGTCGTATATAACACAACAGCTTCACTCACAGAGACAACCTCCAGCCAAGATGGCAGCAGCCATGAAGATGACTCATCAGGAGAGGAAGAGTCTTCCGGAGGAAGACCTTCAGTGTCGGAGTACCCAGACCTAAACTACCCTAACACAACACCCATTGTACCCTTTAACTCCACACACCTGCTGATTCTGAACACAACAGATGTTGTTAATGATACAGATGTTGTTGATGTTGATACTGAGACTGAGTCCAGCACAACTCCTTCTACGGTAGAGGTCACGCTGCTTCCGGCTATGACCCCAACCCCAAGTTGGGACACTTTGGCCTCTCCCACCCCACCACAGGAGTCCCGGGCAGATGTGGAGTTCAGCGGTGACACCCCACTCCTCATAGACAATGCTGAGTCCCTAGCTGAGTCTGACTCAACAGCAGCTCCTACTAGTGGAGAACCTGAGGAGGGCCAGAGCCCATCCACAACCATGGCGGATAACAAAGACAGTGAAGATTATGAGCTGACTACCACCGCAGAGTCTAAGGAGAGCAAGGAAGAGTATGAAGTAACAACTAGGACACACACTACTACCTTAACCACCAGAACAACACAGAGAGTGATGGTCAGAACAGGCATCTCAGGTATCAGATTGAAAAAACAACACCATTTAATAAGGCATATTTTTGCTAGAGGATTGTCATTTTCATCGGTTTCTCATATGTAGTCTAGTTATTTCAAGTTACTTCTGAGACATATACCAGGAAATAATCTCACAAAACACAGACCGTGTAAATTTATTGATGCACTTAATGTAAGCAGTACTGATGCTCATTTAATTCAGCATGTCCTACCTTTGTTTCTACCTTAGTCTCCCTGAGCGTTTTATATTTTTATATGTTTTATTTTGGTAAGTTTTGTATCTACTTGTAGAAGGAGAGATGAGATTATTGCTGAATGCGTTATCCTGAACATAAAACTCACTAGTACGTGTAAGTGGAATGACAGCCACCATGATTACTTTAACATGCATTTTTTGCCTAAGTCCTGAGTTTAGTTTTCCAGAGTTGAACAGAGAGCAACAAAATGCTAAAATTCCTCTTTGTGCAACAGTTACATGTCTGAGCTGCCTTAACACAACCATTTTCTCTTGCTATATAATGGCTCCACCTAGAGGGGAAGACCATTACATGCTCAGTTCATCACTGAATATGCATTTTTGGTTAAACTAGTACAGTGTAAACTTTAATGTGTACACATTCCTTACACAAGCAGATGCTCAGCAGTGAAAATTTTGTGTTTTAGATGGCTGTGTTGAGAACCCATGTGCTAATGGAGGCACATGTGTAGACAGTGGTGCTGGTGTCAAATGCCTGTGCCTACCAACCTATGGAGGAGAATTTTGCCAAACAGGTGATCTGAATATAATCCATTTTAGATGTATTGGCAATTCAAATACACTGCTTCTCTGAGCAACCAAATGTGTTGCTCTGAAGTTTTATCATTGATTTTTACTCACCTTTAGATAGATAGAATAAGCTAGACCTGTCCTGGAAAGATCGTTGTGATTAGGCCCAGATTATGCAATTCCCTATGAGATCAAAATATAGAAAGAAGGATAATGAAGTTAATGATGTTTGAGCTTTTGGATTCTGACATTTAGTTTTAATGTGTGCCTCTTTTTTGCATGCCTCTTTTTGTTTAGATTTGGAGCAGTGTGAACCAGGTTGGGAAAAGTTCCAAGGAAACTGTTATAAGCACTTCTCAAAGCGCCAGAGCTGGGAGGTGGCAGAGCAGCACTGTCGAATGTGCGGAGGTCACCTGGTCTCCGTCCTGTCACCTGAGGAACAACATTTCATCAACGGTACATTTGAACTGATCTTAACAGAAGCTGCTGTGTGCACCTGATCTGAAACTGGTTTTGCTTGTTCTTGTTTGATGCTTAAGTTAAGGTTTCAAAGAAGGAGTAGAGGAAGGGTGAGTTTATTTCTTTTGAAAAATGTGTAGTTGTGTTGCAGGTACGTTCTACAAAATTAGAATGCTATTGGGGTTTAAACTTAACAATTTGCATATCATATCACAAAATATCACAGTGAGCTTACAGAGGTCATTCTAAATTATGAATCCTATCTATTTATTTATTTATTTATTTATTTATTACTGCCCTATGTTGAAAGGTATAACACGGACTAACTGGTCCAGACAACTGTCATGGACACACTACCTTCATATTGTAGGAAGTTCTGAGCAATGCAGACTGTTTTAACTTTAATCATTTGTAAAGTGGTACAAAGAATTTGCCCAGGGATTTATCACTAAACAATGGGAAAAAAATCAGTTAGTTAGTTACATGTTATATTTCACTGAGAGTTGCTTGTTTATCATCATACACATCAAAAGCACTAATATGAAGAGTTTTGAATGTAAACAATAATCTTTCATTTTCATTACCCCAAACCATCCATCCTGTCTGCAAGCAACAAATGGTGCTTGACTTTCCCTTGAAAAGCCTTTTGAAGCCTGGTTTGGAGGCAGTATTTTGTCTAGGTCTGTAAGTGTGATGGTAATCAGGCATTGGTGTCTCTGACTTACATCCAGGTTTCTTTCTACAGATAAGTACAGGGAGTACCAGTGGACTGGTCTCAATGACAGGACCATTGAAGGTGATTTCCACTGGTCTGATGGCAACCCACTGGTAAGCTTTGTATAGGCCACACATTACACTCATCTAGAGCTGGTTGTTAATAGCCACTCAGAGCTCCTAAAAACATCAGTGTTCCTAAACTGTTTTCACATATATTCTCTAGTACAGCCTCCAACACCGCAAGAAGTAAAAGGCTGTCAGTTTCTTTTCTAAGCAGTTCCTTCTCAGGGAATATAATGAGGTGTTAAGTTTGTGAGTCTTCGAGCCTAATCATGTTTATGAGTTATGAAAAAAAAAATGTTATTTACATTTTGTTTGTCTTGTAGAGTCAGTGTATCCATCCTGTACCTATGTTAACACCTTTTTTTTGTACATTATCTTTCATTGATTTTTTTTTTTTTTTATTAGCTCTCTGGCCACACTAGAGGTTTTAAGAAATGTCATCAAGTCTGAAAGTTCTACAGCTAGTAAATGTAATCATTCACTGCATCAGCTTTCTTAAAAATTTGTAGCACAATGTATTTACACAACGGACACCACTGAGGTCAGCCTGTGGCGTCCTGTTTCCAAAACATTAAAAACTACAATATACAACAGACATATTTACAGTATACAAACATATACTTCAATTCAAAGAAAGGTGGTAACAGAGATGCTCAGTGGTGTAGTTGCAGGTTGTTTACAAGATATTATCAGTGAGAATAAGACCGTAAATCACTTCTGCCTGTTAAAGATGCACACAAATTATTTGTATGGACAGTTTTGTACTTCCTTCCTACTTGCTGGAGGGTAGCAATACATGTCCGGAGAGAGTATCGTCTTTCATTACAGTGACGGTTCTGTTGTGGCAACAGTGCTTGTAGGGCTGGTCAATCTGGTTAATCTGTAGGTTAAGTACTTTTTCACCTAGCGTGATTAGTACATGCAGTCTCATGTATTCAAGCGTGCACCACAGAAGTGTGAGTTCATGTTTTTGTGACAAACACCTAGTCAAGATCTCTGTTGGCCAATAAGTCACAGTCAAAGGTACCTTGAGAAAATGTAGATATCAGCAGTCCTTAGTAAAGCACTACCACAACACAAACATGAAGCAAAAACTCTTAAAAGGGCCTAAATCCTACACTTGTTTTGTGTTTTATTTTTGCCCAGGTCCACCTATGACATATGTATGATTTTATGTACCTACCAAAATTGGTCATAATTTAGTTTTCTTTTAGTTTTTACTTTTTATCACTTACATTTAAACAGGCTGTTTTTGTTGCTGAGCCATACAGATTGATAGAGTGGCATGCAAAAGTTTGAATACCTCTGTTAAATTACATGTTTTTTTTTTTAGTTTCTACTGGGAGCAAACATAAAAATGGCATTTTTCTATATTTGATGAGCTGTGAAGTGAAGCTATATGATGTCAACATTGACAAAGTGCTGGAAGTTTGCCAAAAGAGTATGAAGTTTAAATGACCCATTTGGCTTGACTTCTATTTCCAGTTCTTTTCCATTGGGTTTCAACCCATCTGTATAATGATATCCATGTAAAAATGCAACAATTAAACCTATAAACCCTAGATAATGCTTTTACTATTTACTTCCCTCTCTTCTAGCTGTATGAGAACTGGTATCGTGGCCAGCCTGATAGTTATTTCCTGTCAGGAGAGGACTGTGTGGTGATGGTATGGCATGATGATGGACGCTGGAGTGATGTGCCCTGTAACTATCATCTGTCCTACACCTGTAAGAAGGGCATTGGTGAGTTTTCCTGCTAGTGGGGGTGTACAGATTGCTTTCTATAAGGGGACTTCAAAAATGTGGGTCAAACGCATAGCTTACTAATCATTAAGATTCGTTTGGCTGAATGGCTGAAAATGCAAAACTTAAAGGGAAACTTTGCTGATAGTAAGTCTTAAGTTCAGTGACATTTACACAGTCATTTGTTTTTCACTTAGATGTGCTCACATTTTAGCACAACGCTGTTTATCTTTTCTCAGCTTTCTGTGGTCAGCCTCCTCTTGTCTTGAATGCTAAGCTGTTTGGTCGGCAACGCCTGCGGTATGAGGCCAACGCTCAGGTGCGTTACTACTGCGAGGAGGGCTTCATTCAGAGACACAACCCCATTATCACATGCCAAAGCAGCGGGCAGTGGGAGGAGCCACAGATTACCTGTACACCAAGTAAGAAATCATTTCATTCTTTTGACCACTAATGTCAGAGTATGTATGGACATGAGAAAATTATAAAATGCAAATGAAAGATCTGTATATATTGTAGACACAAAGGAAAGCACTCCAAGGTCAGTATAGTGTTGACATTGTGTACATTTTGTAATCAACAGAACCAACTATGGCAAATGGAGATCAGGTCACACTGCATACTCCTCAGGACCAGGAACCAGTACACATAGAAGATACAGCCACAGAAAAAGCATCACAGTGGTGGAGCCTTTCGACCAACTAGCACTTCTTCATTTACTCTTCTGCTCATCCCTTTTCATTCAAGAGACTTCCATCAATCATCGTGCTTACCGTAGTGTTTTACATGAAGAGCCATGTTCGCATCACACCTCCAGCCTTCTGCTCCACTCAGCAGCTTCTTTCAAGTGCATTTTCTTCTTACAATGTGACACTGAATTACTTATTTTGTAATTCTACGACCCAAAAACATAACCAGTAAGTAAACACAGAGCAGCACAATTCCCAAACAATGGCAGTAGACATTAAAGCACAAGTGAAAATGACAAAATAATGGAGCAAATACTTTTTAACCTCAGCTGGTCTGAAATAAACTGATGCCACTGTCTTATAACAACTTCATTTCATCCCACTGAGAGTGTCTATTAGTGCCATGATGTCTCAGAAGGCAAATTATGACAGACCAGGGTGTGCCAACGTGAGCCAAGACTGACCAGGTGCGTTCAACCCCATGCTTAAAGCTTCAAGAGCAATTTGCAGTGTTGGATTTCATCTAATGAAAAGTCAAAAAATGCACCACCACATCTTCAAGCTTCATAATCACAGACATGCTTGTTTACTGGCAGCCCATGTTTACCAATTCCCTTTCAAAGGCAACATCATCAGAACCCCTGTATACCAAACCATGCCTTTAGCCATATTTGGCCCGATAAAGTGTGTGGGCCACATGCCTATGTCTTACTGAGGCCAAGGCTGTGGAAAAGGCATTAGTATTGGCAGACCCTGGCTGGCTTGGCTTAAGCACAGCAGTGGAAATTGGGCTAATAGTACTCTTCAGCAGCCACCATTCACACTTTTGCACACAGTAAAGCTTGTGCTCCTCAGCCACGCAGGATACCTTTAAAGACAACCAGTTCGGGCCGTTTTAGACTAAACGTCTAGAATTCTAGAATTAATTTATTAACAGATAACATTGCTTTTCAAATATTGTACCATTGTTCCCTCGTCACACTACCAAAAACCAGCCTGACAGTTGCAGGAGTTCCTTATTAGAGCTTTAAGCCTATAATAAGTCAACAACAATTATTAGCTTCAGTTAGATGGTATAAATGTAGCTGGAATATGAAGTCTGGATTAGTTTGTGCCTGGCTGTGAAACACAAGCTTTTCAAGTAATTTGGTGCTCAGTTTTTCAGGTCTCTGACTTGCTCTGGGGAATGGTCATTTCTTACTGAAATTCCTTACTAACATCCTGAATAATAACTGTTTTTACTGACTGAAATCCAAAATTTGTTTTGTCATTCCGCATTTTAGTAGCATTTTTCCTGGTTCAGCATTCAGATATTTTAGCTTATGCTAATGGCATGTAACTTTTCATTGTTTCACTGTTCCTCATAAATTTACTTGAGTGCTTTTTAAGTCTACTCAAAATCTCACATTATAACACAGTCATAACACAAGATAAAAAAAATGCCTAGCAGCACCAATCTAATTTTAATTAAGATGGATTTCAAAACTAAATAAAATCTTGGATGTATGTTCTTGAATCTAATTGGCTATGAAACATAGGTAAGTGAATGTGTAACACTCAAAAGTTTTAACAAGTCTAAACAGTATCACTTGGTGTATCATTGAGATTTGTGAAGCACTGTACTTATTTTGTAAACCAATCTTTCATGGTAATTTATTATGTGGCTTGATTTTCGCTACTTGGAAATATTTACTCAAAGTTTTGAAGCAATTGCCTGGAGTAAGGAAATGAGCACTACAAAGATTTACATCACAGACACCGTCATAGGTATTTTTATTCATCTTGTAGTATTTTATTACAATGTTGGAAAAAAAATCAAGCCATAAGGTGCCATCTGGTATATGGTGCCATACTGTTACAACATATGCGATGCTGTGTTTGTTCTGGGGTTTCACAAAAAAAGTAATAAATAAATAAAACAGCCCTTTTACTAACAGTAGCAATGATACAATGTTTTTTTTTTTCTTATTTTTACCTGGAAGTAAGTGTACTTTTATTTTTAAGTAAATCCACAGACATATTATGAGCATTTTAAATGACTCATAGTAAATAGTGTTACACATTATGCAAGTGTTAAATCATGTACATAACAAACATCATCCAGATAGAAAACAAAAAGATCTGATAATAATTTACAAGCATAGTTATGCTGAAGAAATATCTGCAACAACCTTTCAGATTATTTAAGAGAGCACATTAATTCAAGTTGTCATTCACTCAGTAGGAAATCCCTCAGTTTGAATAGTAGCACAAATTTGCTTTATGCATTCTTTCAATTTTTTGACAAGCAAAATATGCACAATAAGATGATTTTGATTTTGAAGGAGCAAACTGTTCATTTACAAATTGCAGGAGCAGCCCCTTATCAGAACTGACTGAACAGATCAAATAAACACAACAACAAACTGAGGCAGAACTTTATAAATATTATGACAGATAAATACATCACAATATATAAATATATCATTATAAATGCTGAAATCATTTTAGTGCTAGACATATCTGAAAAATGCAATTGTGTTATTGCTCTATAAAACAGTTAAAAGGTTTTTACGAAATAAAAGACAAAAGGAATCATCTGTATCAGTGCTGAAAATATCAGATTGGTACTTAACTGAAAAACTGCTGGGCTCATTCTCATACAATTCTCCTTGTGTAACTATCCAAAGCATGTCACATCATTCAGTGTTGCTGCAAGCACAGCAGCTAAAGCTGGAAAATCATTAAAATTCCAGCTTTTCAGATCAACATAATCAATAACCTTTAGCACTGTGTTCTGTTCTGATGAGAGCTAATGGTGTAGGTAATTTACCTGTAGCAGTATGCCCCATAAAGACGCAAGCTTTTGCTTGGGAATCCAAAACTGTGGACCCCTGGTTCTGGAATTCCACCACAGTGCTCCCTTGGGGTGTTGATTGGGAAACGTACACTGCCATCCTGTAACCAGCCTCCATCGCATTGGTCCAGCCCCACGAACCTCCAAGAGGAGTAGAGCTGTCCCACACGGGCTAGGTTTGCTTCTTTCTCTCTACATGCACGCACTGCTTCAGAAAAATCCAGTGGCCCAGGGACATAGAATACCACACCTGTATGAGAGGCAAAGATACAGGTGAACTAAGGTGGATCTTAAAATTGTTTAGCACATAATTTTAATAGTAAACACTTTATATGTATCCAAGTCAGAAAGACAAGTTATACATTTTGGAACACCCATATTTGAACACACAGCCCATTTCTTTTCTTATCTGTTAACACTGCTTCAATCAATAAGAAAAGGTATCATTCACTATGAAGAGAAAGACCTAAGTATTTTGGTAAAACAATAGCCACTAGGTTCTAGCTAACTCCACCATGGTTGTTCAATGTCTCTTGTACCCCTTTGATGCCAGTTTAAACTTTAATGTGAAGCTTAGTACATTGTATAGTTCACTGAAGCATAGGCCTGCATTGTATTGTGTAGCTAAGATCCCTGTACAGTCACTTTTGGGATTAAAAAACTTGGCTGATCTCCCATTTCTCTACAAACATATAAGTTATATTACAAAACATTCTAAAGCATCAAATGTTACACAATCATCAAAAATGAATTCTCACTACAAATTCCTCTTTTAAACAAAACACAATAGGGAGTCAACTATATGAAATGAAATTACTTCTTGTGTAGGTTTTAGATATATTTTCAGACAATAAAGTAACAAACAAAAAAAAACAACAATGTTCTCTGTTATTAGTGAGTCAGATGCTTCCATGGGAGCATCAAGATGACATTTGAAGCTGCCAATATTGCATAGACATGGTAGGAGCTCAAATGTCACAGAAACAGTCTCTCTCTCTCTAACAGACTAACTCCTATGTGCTTATACAACAGGGGATTGTGTTTCTCCTCTCCATTACTGAGCCCACCATCCCTCTTGTCTGGACTGTTGCCATGCCCAGTTTCCCAAAATCATCAAAGTGTAAACAATAAGGTGTAAAACTGCTGCAGCTGTTCACCTTGACTGTAGAGAGGCTAAAATCATTGCAGTGCAAAGTACATCAGCGTTTTTTAACTTCACTGGGAGGTTGAGGAACTGCTGTTTTCCCTGCTCTAGCATCTTTGCATTATAGATAATCATCAAGCCTTTCTTTACACCTGAATCATGTGTGTTAGAGTTAATAATAAACTGCAGTATTTTGGGACATTATGCCTTTGATATTATTAAAGGCCTTATCAGTTTCAATACATTGTTATCACTGCCTATTCCATCTGCTGACCTTCAGTGATAGAAGTGAAGCAGAAGGCATCATAATGCTCCTGCATCCGGTCTCGTGGTCCATAGCTGCGAATCCCTGGAGGAAGATCTCCTCTGCAGCCTGGCCGTGGGTCCAGGATTGGATAATGGACTGTGCCATCATTTAGCCATCCAGCATTACACCAGTCCAGACCTTCTGTCCAAGCTAAATATGGAATAATAATGGTAATGTGCTAAGAAAGACCTGATTTACAATAGTGCAATTACAGAAGTACACAGAAAAAAGGACAAAATAGACAACAGGTAGTAGTCTAAGCTTGTGCTTTGAACATGAATATGAAAGGTTAATTGAATGTAAATACAGAATATTAGCAGTTTCATGTTTGCTAAATACTGCTACTCACCCCTGTAGAGCTGTTTGTATGTTGCCAGTGTGCCATCCTGCTCTGCACAGGCTTCTTTGGCTTTAATATAGGTCAGTTTGTACCGACCACTGCTGCTCTGATAAGGAAACACAACTCCTGAAATATAAGCAGTTTTAAATTTTAAATTGCTGTAACAAGCTGTTAAAGATTGCTATTAAACATTTCAAAACTAGTAACTATTACATTTTCAATAAAAAGCACCCTTTGTAGCATATATAACTGCTGTTCCAACACACTTGGCTCTAATATTTAAACATTACCAAGCTCAACCGGGCAGTAAATGTCCATGATCAAGATTTGGCAACCACAGCAACCTGCATGAATACTATCACTACATCCAGCATGGAGCACAACATACTGTACACTTACTCCGCAGTATTGTCCAGGCTTATTTAATTTAAATGAAGCATTAACCATAAAGGCCTTTCATACACAACCTTTTTTACCCAACTTTACTAAGAGTGCCAATAATTATGGAGCTGGCTGTAGCTGTCCCAGTTTTAATATTTGATCAACATATTGTGAACATCTCATATCTTGCCATATGTGAAAACATATGCATGTTAATACATTTAGTTAATTTTTAAAAACAAATTAAGCAAAATAATCACATGTTTAATGATACCTTCTCAAAACTGACCACCTTAAAAGGCTTTCTGCATTGCTCAAATTATGGGACTGAATAGTCTAGGGTTCACACACCTTGGATTTTATGACATGTAGAATGATATTTGGGTTCTTTCATCTGCTGTTTAATGAATACTATGGTTTTGGACACACTAATTGTTCTAAAGAGTTATTCTGGTACCATATCTAGAGAAGAAGTATCAATTATTAGATGCAATTGATGTAGTTCTCAGTGTTTTCAAACTCCTAGAAAGAGTGTTCAGTGTGCTCCAGCATTTAAGAATTATCTTTGTGCTAAGATGCTTTTGGGAAATCTGGCCCTAAACAATGACTGATTGCATTTAGAATTGCATTTGTTAGTAATCTACCCAACACTCTTACATGTGACTCTGGTGCAGGAAAACTATACAGAGCAATATACAATGTTATACCTTCAATCCTGAGAGAAATGTCCACGCTTTCATCTTCGATTCCGTTTATGACCTCGCAGCGATACTGGCCATCGTCCTCCAGCTGTAGGCCGGAGAGAAGGAGAGAGATATCCAGCACATGCGCACGGCGAAGCCTTGCTCTGGGTCCCAGGGGGCCATAATGTTTATCTGCATGGCCGTTTGTGATGAGAACAACGTTTTCCACTCCTCGATGAAGAGGGTCAACCTTTGTCCATTTCACTCTGTAGTGAGAAGGTTTGATCCGCAGTACACACGGCAGGGTGATGTTCTCTCCTCTCCGAGCTGTGACCTCTGCATACACCGGTGGCTCCACGAGATACTGGAGGTCCTTCTCTTTGCCTGAAAAATGTTTTTGAAGAGTGATCATGTAAGCATTTGACATGACTATAAAGACTGTCCTGATATGCCTGAAAGTATACCATAAGTCCAAAAGTTTACAGACACCTGCTTATACAACATTTCTTGTGAATTCAGGAGTATTAATATGCAGTTTTGCTGCAGTAACAGTCTCTACTCTTGTGCTTTACCCTTAGATGTAGGAACATTGCAGTGTCCATTCACAAGAGCATTAGTGAAGTCTGGCACTGATGTTGGATGATTAGTTAGTTCTGGGTCACAAACTAAAATCCACCAACTCATCCCAAAGGTTGGATGGAGCACCATCTCTCCAGTTAACACTGTTTCACCCTCCACAGTCCAGTCCTTTGAAACCCATCTAGCCGACACTTGGCATTGGACATGGTGACATTAGGGTCGTGATCTACACATGAAGATAATACAAGTTGTGTGTGTGTGTGTGTGTGTGTGTACATGTGCAATTAAACACCTGTGCCAGCAATGCATGCATCTTAATGTAGCTGAAATCACTAATCAAATTAATTAACTAAGTAATTGGACAGGGTGTCTGGATACTTTTAGACATAGTGTACATCATGATAGTGCACGTCTAAAAAACACAAAATGTATAGGATTTGGTTAAATTAATCCACAATTGAATACATCATCTCATGCGGGTTCTGGTGATTACCTTTATTGCTGTGGTGAAAAATGGCGGCAGTCCAAGAAAGTAAACTGGCAGTCACCACTATCAAAGTAGCACAGTTCATATTTGAGCGCAGCCCTCCCTGGCTGAAAGAGATTTTTAAAACTCTTCAACTCAAAGGTGAAAACTAGATTTTCAAATTTTACCTAGTGCTGGGCAATATTGATCAAATTCAATTTCACACAAACCAAAGTTTCAGAAAGGAAACTTACTGTGTTTTTTCTGTTTTTCTAACTTTTCTGGGTTTTTAAATATAGTTTATAACTTACAGCTGTTCTTTCAATACGTTCTAAAGCACCTAGCTAATGGCATGCAATTCAGTTAACTGTCAGGTCACCCTGTGTAATTGCACCACATAGAATTTAATACACAGCATATCACCCAGCACTAGTTTTAATTCGTTACATAAAACAAGGATGTCCAGATCCAGCTGTGGAGTACAGGTACACTTTAGTGTTTTCAGCTGTGGAGTACAGGTACACTTTAGTGTTTTCCCTGCTCCAGTACATCTGAGTTACCTTAAAAAAGGACTTGGTTATTCAAGTTAGCTGTATCAAGCAGGGAGAACACTAAGGAATTATGTCGGGTTATGGACTAGACCTGGAAAATCCTTGTCCTGAGATAGTCCTTTTGATGTTACACTCAGTAAAGCAAACAAAAACAGTATAGTAAGAATTGCAGCTATCCAGAAACTGGTGTCAAACCTGTTAAGCACTCCTTCGTAGGTCCTTTTTCCTTCAGAATGGTAAATTAAGAAGATAAGAAGATCTCATAAAACATGGCAGAAGTCTGTTGATACACTCCAACTTCAAGTCAGTCTCTACCCATCACAGCCATCATTTAGGTTGGTTCTCTCTCTTTCTCTCTCTCTCTCTCAGTAGGCTGGTCTAGCCGCCCTATGTCTGTGGTTCTGGACAGAGTAAACAGTTTTTTCCTCCCCTCTGTTCCAGCTGTTAATGAGATTCTCACAGACTCTCATTGTTCCTCTCTTCTCAGTTTCAACTCAATATGTGCACCACAATGCAGGTTAATGGACGCCAGCCAGTTATTGGCAGAGAAAAAGGTTTATTAGTCTTGTTGCATCTATTGTTAAAAACACTTATTTATAACTGTAGTGCAGTGTCCACTTTCACAACTACACTCTTAAAATTAAAGGTCACAAAGGGTTCTTTGGAGAGATGACACAGAGATAAACACTTTTGTTTTCCTGAACAAAATAACTGTGAATGTTTTGAAAAGACCCATTTTGTAAATGAGAATGAGAGTGCCAAGACCCTTTTTAAAGTTTAAAGAACCTCCACATAATGTATTGGTTTTATATTAGTTAAAGGTTAAATCTGGAACTATATGCTGTTTTTGTTTGTGTGTTGTTCAGCCACTGCGCTCCTTAAAAGATGAACATGAAGCCAACTGGTTTAAGTTCTCATTCTCTTGGAGCAGATTCTCATTAGGCAATTAATAGAAACGTACATTGCAGACTACAAGAGTCATTGTTCGGCAATGAAAGCAGCTCCAGATGTGGAATGCAGTCTTGATGATTTGGTTGTGCCACTGTGGTCCAGAGATCAGTGGAGGATGGTGGATTTTTGTGCTGAACACTCTCTAATTAATGATCTTAGCATTAAGCAATAGCTGGAAATCATTGCTATTCAGTGCTATTACATTTCAATGTGCAATGTACCATCATCCTTTTCAAAGCTTTTTAAATGCATCTGTCAGTTCAACCACTGCAAACCAACTCACTGCAATTAGTACACCTGAATGTTTCTTGGCAGCACAGCATGTCATCAAGTAAATTTCATAAGATTAGAAGATTTTTCATTATTATTAGGTCCATACAGATCACTATAGAATCTCTAACATTACCCAACAACTAAACACCAGATAGAGTTCATCTGACTGTTTCTTACTAGTACTGCCTTATTAATCTCAATAAGGGAAACTGTGTTTTTTTAGGCCATGTAAACTTCGACATCTTCACAGTGATTGGACAAGCTGTTTGGTTGAGACACAGGAAGCAGAGTGTGCTCTCTGTTTTTCTCTGTGTGACCCAGAACACAATAATCACTTTGTCGCCAACCTTCCCCTCGCAGCCCAAAGACAACAGCAAACACACAGAAGCAAGCAGGAAAAATAGGCTGGGAGAAAAAAGTGAGATAATAGGATTCCAGTGCTTCCTCTGGTCCCTTCTTTATTGTGCTGATTCATCAATGGGACTCTTTCTGCGCCGCAGCAATTAGTATTCGTAAAGGCATGCTTAGGTAACAGCTAGCCCTTCTCTCTCTCTCTCTCTCTCTCTCTCTCTCTCTCTCTCTCTCTCTCTCTCGGGTCTTTGGATGAACATCTAAGAGCACCCATTACATTTTTTCACGTTTTGTTGTTTTATTACTTTGTTCACAGTTAAATTTGGATTAACTCTTGTTATTCTAAAATTAGTAGTCAGGTGCCACATGACCGAAAGACTGAATTTAATAGCATTAATTTTAAGTGATAAAGAGTCACTTTTCGGTTTGATCATATGGTTTGTTCAGATTTGTGCTCAGGCAAGCTCAGAGGACATATGGGGCAATTGAAATAAATAATCTCCAGATTTTATTTTCAAAGAATAAAGCTGGATTGAAGTTGTGCAGGTTCCTTATTAGCTGGAGCAGCAGTGGGAGAGCAACAAGCCAACTCATTCTCACTGTCAGCGAGTAGAATTATTAGCGAAAGGTGGACGGCAGTGGGGATAGACAGAAGGTATCGACAAAAGTTGACATTTTTCATAATGTTATGCAATGTGACTTGAAGGGGTTTCTCAGAAAGAGTCCTTCTGTAGTTTAACTGAAAACTCTGTTCAGACCCGTCTTCTATGCCTCAAGTCAGTGCTTTGAATTTGATATCAGTTTGTTTGCAGAACCTGTCTGGTGGCTTGACAAAGTAGACGTGATCTGTATTTTTCACTGAAGCTTACACTCATGTGGGTGCTGCCTGTATATGTTGCTGGTGTCTCACATGAAATGCCTGCCAGCACTTGACTAAACCACTTCAAAGGTACATGACTTCTTGAAATATGGATATGTTTGCACGTAGTGGGAGTAAATGTGATATTTTCCCTGAAAATGAAAATGCATTAGTTATAAATGTCACACTTATTCCCCTAATCTATGAAATATCTCCCCCTGGTGGACATATGAGCTCAGGTTGAAGAGCAATGTTTCTGCAGAAACATCTCCAAAACCCAGAGTACCTCCAATTTTCCTAAATAGCAAACAAAAAAGACGACAAAAAAGTAGAAGAAAATTTAGCAAATGTTGCTGCCGCTGTCCATTTTTGTGATTTCTTTCAGATCCGGTACTTAATAAGTCTTTTACAAGGTGCACAGCCTATTTAGTACCTCTCATCAGTTAGTAAGATGGGCCACTTAGTCTTGTCTGGTTGTTTAAAATGAGGTTATTGATCACTTTGTTGTACTGAACCTTGGCACTCATGATAGATGTAGTACCCCAGAGCCACTGCTGCCTCCAGCCCCTTTCCCCTTACCTAGAATTGCCTGAGGTTAGCCCCTGCTCCAGGGTTCATAATGAGGCTGTTCAGTTCTCCTGCCGACAGAACCATTTGTAGGAAAATGAGAGAGGCCTAAAGGGTAACTGTCATGCATAACTCTAGGTTCATGTTGATGCCTGTCGTTCCTTCTGTTTTAAATTAAATGTCTACTTTGTAATGCCTTGTAATGGCCCTAATTAATTAGCTTAATTAGTAAGTTGAGTTGCAAAGATAGCTGGTTTCTGAATAATGCACAGATTGGAGCAGTGTGTCCATTAACTTCATCTGGGTAACAAGGTAAAAGGTAACAAGGCAAAAACACATATAATACAGTGCTAGTTTGCCAGATTCCTAAGTCAGACCAAACTGCATTCACTTGTGGCATTGGCTAATAAGAAAGCAGAATAACCTTCTTGGTCATGATGTCCCACTAATGTTTCAACTTTCTGGCACTTTTTTGACTTTTTGGCTTTTTGCCCTTTTTCCCAGGGATGCAGTTAACTCTCTTTATTAATTCCCTACCTAACAAATGCCAGTGTCTGCTGCAAGTGTGGCAATATGACAAAAAAAAAAAACAAGTTTGACTGCAAAAATGTACAGCCACATTTAAAAAAAGCTATGAAAACCTATTAAATACAATTTTTAGGTGAAAAAATAGACTGCTTAAATTGATTGCTAAAACGATCAAACAATTTATAGTACAAATTAATAAAATTAGCTTTGACCTATTGGGTTTACATTGAGTTGGCTATTTCACTGTTATCCTGCAAAGGTAAACAGAACTCAACATAATCAAGGCAATCAGTAGCAACATAGAACACCATCATGGTTAATACAGTAAGTGTGCATTCATTGAAACCTTATTTTATCAATGAAGATATTATTATAAACAACTAAAATCATGTAAATTCAACTGTAAAAAAATAAGAGCTTGTTATTAGAAAACAACTGTAAAATAAGACTGTTTGAATTTAAGGTCTCCAGTGTCACAAAATCAAATAGAGGAAATAATGCAGTAAGTGCATATGTTTACTTTAGTATAACTGCTGAATATAGTTTAATGATTTTCAACATTGGCAATTTCTTCCTGAAGACTTTTTCTGAGGATCTTTCTCAAGAACAAATTTAAGCAAAAACAGAAGATATTGGTGAATGAGGCCCATACATACACACATCATCTAAACCACTTATCCTTGTGGTTCGCGGTGGGGTGCTGGAGACTATCCCAGCTGTCATTGGGCGGAAGGCAGGATACACCCTGGACAGGTCGCCAGTCCATCGCAGGGCAGACAGACGGACATACACATTCACACACACTCACACCTAGGGGCAGTTTAGCACGTCCAATTAGCTTAACTGCATGTTTTTGGACTATGGGAGGAAACCCACGCAGACACGGGGAGAACATGCAAACTCCACACAGAAATGACCCTGGTCGCCCAGCTGGGAATCGAACCCAGGCCATTCACTACCCACTGCGCCACCGTGCTACCCAGGAATGAGGCCCATTGCCATGTTATGTAGCCGTACTCTGTTGTGTTACTGTTTTTGTTGATCATAATAATCCAGCTACGCTTATGGATCTGTGCAGCACTGCCCATCTAATACAGTGCCACTCTTGTGATTTTTGGTAATGTTTTTCTAAAGTAACAATTTCAGAGTGAATGTTTAATGCTCAATTTGTCTTCTCAGTTTCATATATAAGAGCACTTGACTAAGAGGACTACATTTATGCATGCTGTATATGATTGCACATTGCATAATTTTGCTCTCTCTGCACCTACAAACCAACAAGCAGTCATTATGAGGAGAACTGTTCAATGATCTTTCGTCTGTCACTGTCCCACATTATCCTGAGCTGCTTCTGTGTGAAAAAGGCCATTTTGACAGGCTGTTAACAGGTGGCTCAGGCTCTACCTGCAGCAGCTACCACTCAGCTGTGGCCTTGTTGAAGTGATAGAGAGTTCAGGACACGGTCACTTTTGTAATTGGTCCTTTCTCAAATAACATTTGACAAGTTTTTACAAGCCAGTCTGAGACAGTTCTTGATTGGCATCACATTCCACAGAACTCTATTTTAAAATTCTACACTCAAGTAACCTTGTACAGTCATCTTTCTGAAGAAACATCTAGCTTCTAAGAAGTCAGTTCCTATCAGTTAAAAGGGAGAATGGCTCCATGTATACATGATATCTGATTCATGCTATCTGATGTAGTGCATTCCTGAAACCGATCCACCTTTTTAGCATAATCTCTGCTCTTTACTCTATAAATGTCCTATATATAATGCATGACATATCATATATAAAAGTGTATGTGTGTATG